ACAACTACTAAGAAACTACATTATTCAAACCAATTTCATAGAATACACTACTATTATTCACCCCACTGTGTGTTTTTTCTGTATTCCTGTAGTTCCGCCTCTCTAACTACTTTGACTTGTTCTTCTCTGGTTTCTACCGGAACAAATTGCTGAAATACTAAATTCCGAGAAGACACCGCTGTCGCATAGTTCAGTTTAATAAATATATACACCCCCGACTCGACAAACAAACAATAATTTCCGCCGAATCATGTGGTCGACTGTCACTTTATGTATCGGATTTTATCCAACTTTGTTCTCCGTTTTTGTGCCCCGATCAGCAGAAATTCAAACTGCAACGACGCCACAATTCTTAAACAATTCTCAAAGACGACGACGATTCTGATTCTGATTCTGTCGGCTTTTCGTCAGAGAAGAATCATGGGTTGCCCTGCCCTGCCAGTTGATATATATTATTGTATAAATCAGCAGAAAAAACAGCAAACAGCGGACAAGCGAACAAAAAATAATAAACCTTAATTCGAAGCTCGGAGCTTGATTCATTCATATTACCCGGGGGATCTGAAAAAAAGTGGGGGGACGAAATCGGGAAACGGGGAAGGGGGACGGGGGACAGTGACTGACCACCCAATTGAGCTATGAAAACCGATCAAACCGATCGCAATTGTTGCCAGGCACGAGAGCAATGACATGACATGCAAAAGCAGCAGGAAAACTAAACACCAAAACGAACCGAACTGAAAAGCCAAACCAAACCCAATCACCAATCACAAAAATGCCACAGAAAGTCGTGCAGGGGCAATAATCATCATCATCATCATCATCCGCGAAAGGAGAAAAAGGAAGGAGGATGTGGATGTGGATGTGGATGCTCTTTTCTGACTCTATTTTGTCGGCGAACATGGATCTAGTGCACGGTGGTTCATGATTAAGTTCGTGACTAGATTTCATGCTCGTCTATTAAGTTGGGTCAGCACAACGAAGAGAGTTTTCCTCGAGGGGATGTGTGGGGAGTTTTCCACCCCCACCCCCCTGGCTGAGTGGCCAATTAGCCGACGCATTAATTATGGGAAATGTATATTTGCCTGATTGACCCGTGACCCACATGCAGTGGCACACGCCCCGCAGAAATAACTCCCGAAATGAGGGCGTGTTGAAGAAATAAAAATAAATAACAAAAAAAAAAAAGAGTCAATGGCCTGCTGTCCCGCATGCTGTGCACATTTAACCCGAGACGAAAAAGCAGTAGCCTTGCCGATTTGTGGTCCTTTATCTGGCCAATGGAGTGACTGCCCTGCCAAAAGTCGCAGAATGTGGAAAACCGAAGCCCGTGACACCGCCAACGGTCCACCGATTTATGGCTGGGTGACACGCGATTAAAAATCGAATCCAAAAGGGGCCCCTACAGAAGCGAAGAAACGTAAAGCCAGGGAACTGCAACGCCAATAGATTTCCGTGTGAAAAACTCAGCGAGGGTTGTTGTTGCTGTTGTGGCGCCTGCGGGTAAGTAACGGCTTTTGCCCGCCTTTTGTCACATGGTGAGACAAAAAATGAAGCAAAATATCGGTTGGATAATGTCTTTTAAAAGTTTACATGTCATTTAAGTGGGCCAGCTTCGATCTACTTTACTGAAATTGTTTTATTAAGGCTCAATGCAGAACTAATATTTTTATTCCATTCGTTAATAAAAGATTAGTGTTCTATTTAGTCATTTTTCTACGATGAAAGTGACACCCGATCCTATAAACTAGATATTGTTTCAATCAACTTCCAAAATATATCAAAAATATTACTGCGGTATAAATTATTGAATTCAATCTTTGATTTAGTAAAAAATATCCTTTAATGACGGCCTATGATTAAAATTTTTAACTAAAATGTCATAATTAAATAGTCTATGAATAGACAGTGAAAGGTTAAAATTTCCACGTCAACATGAGTAATAATAAAAAAAAAAGTAGAAAAGCTAAACATAATTTTTTTAAAAAATACTTTGAATTCCTACAAATTATCCATGAAGACTTGATAAAGCACTGATCATTTCCAAAGACATTTCTCACTGTGCACCTTGTTGCCAACGACAACAACACGACATACTGTTGCGTGGGCGTTTGAGTGTAACTGTAACACCTGCTGCCGCTATTAACACAACATTTCTCTGCTCTCCAATTTTAATTTCAGCCCAAAGGAATGAAGCCGGAACACCTTTCAACCCTGCGAGCCATTGTTATTACTATTGCTACTATACGGCTACTTACTATATAGCTGTAGCTGCAGCTACTCCTCCTACACGATCGCATTCGCATTTGCTTCACGCTCATTTAAATGCCAACGCACCGGGGGAAGGGAAGGGAAAGGAAAGGAGGGACAAGAGAGCACAACAACAGCGGCGATCTAACAAAACATTGGCTGCTCGGCTGGCTTATTTACATATTTTCTAAATGAATGTGGTGGCTACGAGTTTGCAACCCCGGCGGTGGCAAAGCCAAGAAGCGCATTCAGTTGCAACGGCAGCGGCAGCTGGCTTTCCCTGCACTGGATTTCCACTTCCTCCCGGCCGAAGCAGCAGCAACATCAGCAATCAGGAACAGCAGCAGCAGCAGCAGCAGCAGCAACAAGAAGCCGTCAAACGCCGCAACTAATTGATATAATAGTTAAAATAACAAACTAACGAGAAAGAGGTTGTCGTCGGGCGAACGCGCGGCGTTGGTGAAGTGCAAAACCTTTCCAATTTGAAAATAGTTTTCCTGCTATGTGTGCTCGTTCCCACAAGCAGCAATACCACACCATACCACCAGTAGATGCAGCGAGCAACAACTGCAACATCGGTTCAGAACAAGCACAAAACAGCAAAAGCCTGCACTTTGCCAAGAGGTGATTGGGAAAAGGGGCTCGAGAGCTGGAGAAGATGACAATGCAGCGATTAGAGCAATACAGAACTTGAACTCTACAACTCCACGGCATCGTCATCATCATCATCTTCATTGGCGGCAGCTGGAAAAATGTTTACTTCAATCCCCTACTCATAGTCGCAGTCCCAATGCGCGGCATTTCCGTTCGGGAAAAAGAGGATGCAGCCGAGGTTCTGGATCGGATCGATTCGATGCTGATGCATTTTGCAAGGGGCAGAGGAGTAATCATATTTATTACATCTAAATAAAGTACGTGTAATGTATTTCATTAAGAGCGGCGTGTTTTCTGATTTGGTTTGGGTAAAGGCGAAGAATATTGTTATAACAATTTGTTACTGAGATGACGAGTTTCCAAATATAAATTAAAAAAAATTATGTTTTAATCTTAAGAAACACAAGGGGTGAAAAACATTTTCTTAAAAGACAAATGCGATATTGTTTTAAATAATTTGTCGTTGATTTATATAGAGTTCAATGCGTTGGAACACGAATTTGCCAATAAAAATTATGCCTAAAGTCTATTTTACTTTAACGGTTATGAATTTAAAATTATATATATCCGAAAAGCAGTTAAACAAATTTAAATATTTGGTCTTGTAGCCCTGAAAAAGCGATAACATTATCGACAGTTAGCAAGCACATCCTCCATGGTTAGCGAAGACACGCACCGATATTGGCATAATTTACATTTAATGTAGAGTAGATCCGATCCTATGCGCCATGTAGATAGAGATCGATATCAACGCAATTATAGAGAAGTATCGCCAAAGCATCTGTGCATCGATACACCGCCATTTCCCAGCCATAACTTCGACGACACTCGTCAGATGTTCTTCACCTGCCGCAGTCGATCCTTTTGCTCCGAGCAGCACAGGGTGAAGCTGGAAGAGAGCGGTCCTTATGGACTGCCACTGCTGGGCCCATGACACGTCAAGCAGGTCCAGGTGGTCGCTATTCGCCCAGGTGAAAGCAGGTTTCTGCAAAGTTTTACGTCAGGTGATATTCACAGCTAGCCTATCGGATACTACTGTTTTTTTTCTTTAAGACTCATTTCTCTCAAAGAAACAATTTTTGGATAATTTATAAAATCAAGATTGAAACCATTTTTTTTTGAAAATTGGCACTTACGGTGGGGACTAAATTGCGTGGGATGGCGAATAAGAATTTTGTCAAATTGTTCAGAATGTGGCAAATTTTGAAGTCTGAGATGGCTTGTCTCAGGCTCCGAAATCGGACAGGCTTTACTTTTTAAACGAAATTGAATAGCATAATGAAGTTATTTTAGTGTTGAGCTGGGGAAACATCGGAACATCGTCATTCCAACATCAAAGCTTTCTCGCTAAGAAACAACCGTAAAATGGCAACAAATAATAACTTTTACGGTAAAGTGGTTATCAATACTACTCGAAAAAGTCAAGAGCAAGGAAAGTGTCCGATTTGACGATTTGACTGATCCCTGCTCAGAATATGAGATCTGTACCGCGATTGTCCGTGGAATTGGCCTTTTCGCCGAACACGCACCTCCGCTGTCCCAAGTGTAGCTCCAAGCTGTTCTCGGTGAAGGATCTCAGTTGCGACCCCTTCGCGAAGGCCAATAAATGCGCCTTTTGCGAGTACAGAACCGCTAGCGTGAAGGCGAGGGACACCCACCAGGCGCATTGCATGAAGAACCCACAGTTCATTTTGCGGGTGCAGACCCGCCGGGTGTACAAGTGCCTATACTGCTGCCACACCTTCAGCAGTCGGAATTCCAGCCCCGCCCGTTTAGGAATGCTTCCCTCGGAGTAATAAGTAAAATAAGTAAAAAGTAAATAAAAGTACCAGAGAGCTGGCTGAGTAAAAATAAATGACAGGTGAGTCGTTGTCTCAGGAATGATCGTTAAAAGATTTTTGATCGAATAATTTGTTCAATCGGTTGGTGTGATCTTCCCGTTAATCTGTGTGACCGTGTGCTTATTTTTTCTTTAAACACATTTTCCGTTACTTTAAAATTAGTGATGTGAGAAAAACATCGATTGTCGCCACGACATAGCTGTTTCTAAAAAAACACCGGTGTATCGATGTTTTCATCGGTGTTTCTCCACCTCTAATATCCATCCTTCTCTTCTTCGTTTCCGGTGAGAAGCGTGGCTCCGCGTTTTCGCTGAATTTGCCAACAATATTGTATTTAACATCATATTTGCAGGCAGACGATTTAAACGGCGAATCCACAATGGTGCAAGGAGTGAGTACGCGCGGGAGGAGTGGAAATTTGCCAATCCTGGGCCTTGGGCCATGTGAATTTGCGAATTTGCAAATGCCGGTTATGTGCCACGATTTTTGCTAATTTTTCCTCATATCTTTTTCGCAGACTCTGTACACTTATCCCGAGAACTTCCGGGCCTACAAGGCGCTCATCGCTGCCCAGTACTCCGGAGCCCAGGTGAAAGTGGCCGAGAACTTCAAGTTTGGCGAGACCAACAAGTCGGCTGAGTTCCTCAAGAAGTTCCCCAGTGGCAAGGTGAGTGGCTCGCCTCTTTGGGTGTGGTTAATGCCAGGTCATCATGTGCGTAATACCCCGCTAGGTGCCCGCTTTCGAGACCGCCGAGGGCCAGTTCCTGAGCGAGTCCAATGCCATCGCCTACTTGCTGGCCAACGAGCAGCTGCGCGGCGGAAAGTGCCCCTTCGTCCAGGCGCAGGTCCAGCAATGGATCTCCTTCGCCGACAACGAGATTGTGCCCGCCTCCTGCGCCTGGGTCTTCCCACTGCTGGGCATCCTGCCGCAGCAGAAGAACAGCACTGCCAAGCAGGAAGCCGAGGCTGTGCTGCAGCAGCTCAACCAGAAGCTGCAGGACTCCACCTTCCTGGCCGGCGAGAGGATCACCCTGGCCGACATTGTCGTCTTCAGCAGCCTGCTCCACCTGTACGAATACGTGCTGGAGCCCAGTGTGCGCAGTGCCTTCGGCAACGTGAACCGCTGGTTCGTCACCATCCTCAACCAGAAGCAGGTCCAGGCCGTCGTCAAGGACTACAAGCTGTGCGAGAAGGCCCTGGTCTTCGATCCCAAGAAGTACGCCGAGTTCCAGGCCAAGACCGGAGCCGCCAAGCCCCAGCAGCAGCAGCAGCAGCAGAAGCAGGAGAAGAAGCCCAAGGAGAAGAAGGAGCCGGCTGCCAAGAAGGCCGCCGAGCCAGCCGAGGAATTGGATGCCGCCGACGAGGCCCTGGCCCTCGAGCCCAAGTCGAAGGACCCCTTCGATGCGCTGCCCAAGGGCACCTTCAACTTTGACGACTTCAAGCGCGTCTACTCCAACGAGGAGGAGGCCAAGTCCATTCCCTACTTCTTCGAGAAGTTCGATGCCGAGAACTACTCGATCTGGATCGGCGAGTACAAGTACAACGAGGAGCTGTCCAAGGTGTTCATGTCGTGCAATCTCATCACCGGCATGTTCCAGCGCCTGGACAAGATGCGCAAGGCGGCCTTCGCCTCCGTCTGCCTGTTTGGCGAGGACGGCAACAGCACCATCTCCGGAATCTGGGTGTGGCGCGGACAGGATCTGGCCTTCACCCTGTCCCCCGACTGGCAGATCGACTACGAGGTCTACGACTGGAAGAAGCTCGATGCCAAGAGCGAGGAGACCAAGAAGCTGGTCACCCAGTACTTCTCCTGGACTGGCGCCGATAAGGATGGCCGCAAGTTCAACCAGGGCAAGATCTTCAAGTAAACAGCTCAAGCAGCAGCACACATTTAGACCAACAAAAACAATAGCAGCAGTAACAATAAAGTTTGAGATTTGAAATGCAGGAAGAGCACGATGCCTATGTCTTAAGTTCCAACTGATAGTATCCTAAAGATATCCAATATCTGTCGTGCTGCCTCTGGTTCGCTCGCATCGTGTGTTTCGCCTTCCTCATTTTGTACTGGAGAATTTGTTTGAAGACCGCCTAGCATAAAACACCATGATATTGTCAACGGAACAGCCGCCTGCAGCCAGAATATAATTTATAAAAAATAAAAGGTTTTCTATTAATAACGCCTTGTTCTTCATTAACAGCTTGTGTCTGGTTTATTTGGATGGGTTTAAAGAGGTTAAAGGAGGCATCAGTTTTAACTGGTTTGTTAAGATGTCTACGAATATAATCCAAATTAGTAAATAATTAACTCTACCTAACTTAACCTATGTAAGTTCAAGGTCATTTAAACTATTTTATTAAATTGAACTAAAAAAGTAATAATCAATTTCGGCTAGAAGTGAATATGTGCATTGGCTTTTATCTCAAAAATAAAGCAAATGGATTTCGATGTTTTCTGGGCAATTTTATTGGCAACCTTTAACTTAATCCATCAATATCATCAATAATTGCTTACGATTACAAGGGGTTCTGATAGCAGATAGCAGAAGTGTTTCGAATAAGTTCAACCATTAAATCGGTTTTAAAAGCAAACAGAAGCTTGGAGAGAATTTAAACAAGGAAATGCTAGGCGTTTTATATCTCGATGCACCGCTGGAATTTACTTCTTCTTTTTGACCACCACCACGGGTCCAACGTTGTCGCCAGTCAACTTGTTGTGCTCGCCATGGCTGCCATCGCAATAGGGCCACTAAGAAGAGGGAAAGAATGGGGTTACAATTAAGGATTGGAATATATTATTTTATTTAAATGGGATATTAGGGATATCACAAGATTAAGCTCGCAATATCCTATAAAAGTTATTCATGATGGTTGAAAATTCGATTGATATAAAATTCGATCTATTAAGTGCCGTTATAATATGATATGATCTTGTAAGTGATAAGCTCAAAGTTTAGATAAAAAGAAAGCATGGTAATGTATATTCTTTTATTTAAATGGGATATTACGTATATCACAAGATTAAGATCACAATATCCAGTAAATATTACTCCTGATAATTGAAAATTTGATTGATGGAAAACTCGGTCTATTAAGTGCCGTTATAATATTATATGATCTTGTAAGTGATAAGTTTAAAGTTTAGACAAAGCATGATAATGCATATTATTATTTTTTTTAAATGAGGTATTAGGTATATCAGAAGATTAAGCTCACAATATCCTATAAAAATTATTCATGATAGTTGAAGATCTACTAAGTGCAGTTATAATATGATATGATCTTGTAAGTGATAAGCTCAAACGAAAGCCTGGTTAATACTCTTCTCAAAATGATAATCCACTCACATTCTTGGTCTTCCAGCAGCGACAGAAGGCCGCCTTATCGGCAATGTCCTCCACATCGATCATGTCCACCACCTTGGCCTCGCTCTTCTTGATTTGGCTGTTGCAGAGACCGCTGTTTTTGCCCGAGCAATTGCCCCGTGCCGCCGGACAAAAGGCCAGGTAACCGGTGTAACCGATTCCGGCCACCACAACGGTGGGTGGGATGAGGGAGAGCCAGTCCTTGACTAAAAGTGGAATTGGTAGAAGACTATAGCAGGTGTATTTTAAGTTATAGAACTAGATATTTTGGTCAATCAGCCGTAACCGGCACAAGGTCGTTTGTCGTTCTCTATATAAAGATTAGGTTATAAACGCACTAAGATATATCTACGTATACATGTGTGTATATGTGGCCAGTGAAGCGTCTACGCATTATACATAGGTTTATCTAGTTTCCTATGTAGAAGATAAACTTGCTCCAATTAAAAATATCTTGGAGAGCCCAACAAATGTTGCATAATCGCTGCAGGTTCACTTTTACTTTTTTCACTGGAAGTGCAGGCGTTGCATTTTCTTTCGGCATTTGTATGATAACAATATCACGCCACATTTTCACTTAAATAGTTATTAAAGTTGGGGAACTAGATGCTGTGTCATTATCGTGGATTTTAAACCCCTTTGTGGGGCGCCCTTTGAAGGCAAATCAAATTCCAAACGAGACCACATCTACGTCCGTCTTATAAACTTACAGGAGAGGCTAAACCAACCGCCGAAACTACTGGGAATCGGCAGATTTGACAGATAATCGGGCAAGGTGGATTTCACCAAGTTCGATATGGGCTCCATTTCAAAATAGTTTTTGTAATTAGCTGATATTTATGAAAAACCTGTTTTTGTGTTGCTATCGGTTAGTGGCGGCAACACATCGATCAGTATCGATAGTGGCGTTGCCACACTATCTCAAGTAAAAATACCAAAAAGCGCAACTCGATTATTAAAATACCAAAGTTATCGAGGCATCACTGAAACAAGATTGTTTTGATTTCGACTCGAATTAATTGCGGTTTAACATGTCTGCCGGAGTTCAAGAGCGCCTCCAACTGAGTCGGGTTCCGCTGGACACCTGGTCGAAGCGGGAGCAGCTCATCCTGGCGTCGGCGGTCTCCTGCAGCGGCGACCAGAACTGGATCACCGTGAGTCGCACGCTGAAATCGATTTGCGGCAATGGCAATGGAAACGGCGGTGGACAAAACAACCGACCGGCGGATTGGTTCTCCCAGAAGAACTGCGCCGTCCAGTACGGGAATCTGCTCGAGAGCGTGGAGGCCACCAAGCGCAAGAAGCGCAGCAGCGAGAGCAGCGCGGGAGTCTCGTCGCCCGCTACGGTAGAAACGCCCACGGAACTTCTGCTTCGCCGCCTCACGGAGGAGCGGCAGGCGGAGATTAAGGCCCAGATGCGGCACGACCAGGAGACCTATCGTCGCATCCAGCGGGAGATCGACTCGCTGCAATCGGATGCGGTCACCGAACAGGAGCTGCAGGACATGTGGCTGGAGATCGAGAAGGAGCAGGAGACGCGGCGCATCGAGGAGATGAAGCTGGAGAATCGCATGCGGGAGAGGGAGCAGCGCAAGAAGGAGATGGCGGGAAACTGGCGAAATAGCAGTCCTGCTGCCAGGCGTTCCAACCAAGCTGCGGACACGACCTCCGTGGACATGGACGTGGAGGATATTAATAGCAGTGGTAGTAACAATGGCAAACAGCAGACGGCACCTTCGCCGCTACTCACATCTCTACTGAAATCTCCCACGGGAAATGCTCCTGCCACGCCCATAACAGGCGGAGGAGGAGGAGGAGCAGCTGCAGCAGGAACGGGCAGCGTGGCCAGGGCGACGGCACCTACTATTACTTCTCTGCTGACCAGCGGCGGCAGTTCGGCTGTCTCCAATCAGCCAGCCATCACGATGAAGAGTCCCACGGATGCGGCATTCATGTCGCGACCCATCAGTGGACCACCAGCCAATGAGGCACTCACTCCAACCACGCCCACCCTCGAACGGAGTCCCTCGCAGGCGGCACCCACACTCTCCATGCTGCTGGAGAAGAACAAGGCGGCGGCTGCTGCTGCTGCAAAGGCCAACGAAGGTGGGAGCTTGATAAAACCCGAGACTTCAGGAGGCCAGGAGCCGGCACAAGTGGAGGAAACAACATTAACCACCGCTGGCACAGCGGATTCCGACGAGACGGACGATCAACTGCTGGAGGTCTTTCCAAACATTGACGAGATAATCGATGACATCGACATAGACATGGCCAGTGTCATTGATGATGAGATGCTTAAGGATGTGGACGAAGTGGTGGCCTCACCTTCAAACGACAAGGGCGAAGTCATTGACTTTGAGGACAAATTGGATGCCTTAAAGCGGGAGCAGAGCAAGAGCTCTCCAGCCAGTGATAAGCCGAAATCCGTGGAGTTGGTGATTGGATCCAGCGATGATTCCAACGACAATATTCCCCTGGCCACTGTGGCCTCGCAGGAGAGCAAGGATCGCGGTCAGTCGGGCGGTGAATCTTCGCGCGGCACCGAGGACGCCGAGTCGGAACCTTTGGCCAGCGAGGTGGCGGTGGAGGAGATTGGTGAGACCATCACCATCATCAGCACATCTAGCGAGGATACGGCAGGCTCGCCGCCTGCGAAAATAGACGAGGAAGGTGCGAGTGACTCGCTTTCAAAGAAGGAGGAAACCAAGGAGGATAAATGCGATCAGGAAAGTAACTTCCAAAGCAAAAAAGAAGCAGGTGAAGTCACAGAAGGAACGGAGACTGCAGAAAACCAAGCAGCTGGAGAAGCACACAGCAAAGAGGCGACAGAAAAGCCATTACCAATCGAAGAGAAAGTGGCCACTCCTTCGACTCCTGCTTCCAATCCTGTTCCTGGATCTCTGCACGACACAGATGAGGAGTCGTCATCCCTAACAGACAGCAGCAAGCACGATGAGCAACCACGGAGTGCAAAGGCCAAGCCACCAACGTCTAAACTCGCTCTGGATGACGCCAAATCGGAGCTGGAGTCAAGTGGAACCCCTCAGCCGCCCTCGGCGCCAGCTCGCACTCCCTTGTTGCGAAAACTGCCCCACCGGGATCGATCCGAGAGTCCAATGGTGGATGATGACGCCACTACAGCCAGCGATCATTCCACCGCCCGGTCAACCCGTCGCCGCTGCTCTTCCACGCCCGTAATCGACAGCATACCCAATTCACCTGCCTCCAGCGAGCACACAGATGATCGGCGGGAAACGCGAGCCGCCTCCAAGAAGCTCTTCCTGTCCATTTATGCCACGTTGCAGGACAGCAAGCATGCGGCTCCCTTCAAGCGCGCCTTCCACGACGAGCACGCCCAGCGGCATGCAGATCTGTGCCTGCGTCCCATGGATTTGCCCACCATCAAGCGCAACATCGACTCGGGATTCATTCGCAGTTTGAGCGAGCTTCACAGGGATGTCCTGCTCATGGCCCACAATGTTTTGGTGGCCTACAAACCGCACACAAATCAGCACAAGACGGCGCGACTGTTTGTGCAGGACTGCCAGGCGATCAAGGAGTTCTCTCAAATGCCCGACACACAAGTGGCGGGAATCACGGCCACGCCGGTCAGCAATACGGGAAGCTCCCGGGCGGAGAAGTCAAGTGGCAGCAAGGCCAGGAGCGGCTCTCGAAAGAGCCAGAGGCATCATTAGGCTTTCTACACTTGGTAAACTTAAGAATTCGTCTCGGAGCACAATTTTCAAGTATTTTTATATTTATTCTACTAATTCGATGGTTTTCTACTGGCAAACACATTTCATTTTGGAACTTCACAACTAAATCACAAGCTATCATCAACAATAAAGATCAATCGAAGAATATGAGGTTCTGTAGGCGGCGGGATCTGGACGAGTGGCAAATGGAGCGTCGCTGGGGGCAGTAGAACCTCTTCAAGCACCTGGAGAGTCGCAGGTCGCATTGGCAGAGGCGTGCGGCACAGGAATCTGGGCCACCGAACTCCCCGTGATCCACGGCGCAGAGCGGCTTGCCCCGATAGCACTTCCACACATAGGGCACAAAGTATTCCAGGTAGGAGATGCAGTTGCTGTGGCCGTAGCACTTGTCATGGAGGCGACAACAGCGATCGATGCCATCGGCGGGAACGCCGTGGCCGCCGAATCCACAGTAGCAGCCGTAGCCCTTGTAGATCAGTGGATCACAGCCCGTGGAGCACTTGATCATGGAGTACAGCCGCGCTACGTCCCTCTTTCCGCGATCTCCCTCCGGCAAAAGTTCTTGCTCCCGACCGCTGTCGTTGCTGAAGCTCCACTTCATGGAGAAGCCAAAGGGATCGTTTACCCGGGCTATGTACACGTTTTGCCCGTTCATCAGGTCCTCCGCCTCCGCTGGTCTACCAGTTGTGGATGTAATCACCCGGATATCCGTCACCCGGCCATCGAAATGGTGGTTCTTGATCTCCAGATGAATCTCCCTGTGGGGATACGTATTTTGCCAGCTGATCGGCGGGCTTGGGTCCCTGTGAATTATCTTGAAAGGTTAGTATTAATTTAAAGTGAATTTAACCAGTTCTTATATTATTATTGTTAAATATTATATTTACTATGTAAACTAAAATTGTCTTTTTAAATATTTTGCAAATTTAATTTCTATTTCTATTATTTAAAAGGAATATTGTCCCAAAAATCAAATTCATTTTGTAAAATATATTAAAAACTAAAGTGTCCCAATACAATTTTAAAAAAGGCAAAATTATGGTCTTCATTGTATTGCCGTGTATTTTACGAGTTCTTATATTACTATTTTTAAATATTATATTTACCATGTAAACTAAAATTGTCTTTTTAAATATTTTGCAAATTTAATTTTCTATTATTTAAAAGGAATATTGTCCCAAAAATCAAATTAATTTAGTAAAATATTTTAAAAACTAAATTGTCCCAATACAATTTTAAAACAGGCAAAATAGTGGTCATTTTTTAAGTAGAACTGTGATATAAGTTCAGCAGCTGTTTTTTTTTAATTTCACGAAACAATACACAATCTCATTTGATTTAATGATGCAGAAATAAATCGTAAAAAAGGGTAAATGAAATTTTGTTATAGTTAAAAATAAATAACAAATAAATCGAACACCTTGAAGACAGAAAATGTTATGTGTAAGTAATTTTAAAAATATGTTTAGCCCATGAAATTTATTTATTTAAGATTTTCAGGTATTACAATATATGGGTCAAAATGTTGACCTATTTTTGGTGCCAGTAGTCTGAAACTCCTACTCACTTGTGGCCCTGCTCAAGCCAGGGAACAGGAGGCTTCAGCTCCCCCGTCCAGCCCTCAAGGCCCATCTGCTGCCAATCCACCTGCGGCGATATAATCAGACTGGTCTTCACGCTCGTTTCCGGGGGAATTGTCGTGGGTGAATCGATGACCGTGGGCGATGATTGGGTGATATTGGGGAAGATTGGTTCCGCAAAATCAGATCGTTGCATTGTTAGCAGCTCGAAATTATCCCCGCCGCCGGCGGATTTTCTGGGCATTTTGAAGACAAACGAGGGATTCGGACTGCGCATGCTCGCCCCGTACATTTCCGGTATTATGTGATCCACCAGCTCCGTGTCGTTGGTGACGCCTCTGAAGGCGCTCCTAATGTCTTCAATCACCGTGACATTTGCCACCACATTTGCCTGGTAATTGAGCCGCATGGCGGCCACTACTAGCCCCATTACCCACAACATGTTTGAGTCGAATCCAGGAACTGAACGTTGGACACCGCCACTCTGCACCACCGATCCAATCCGAACTGCTCGCCTCGAGTGGCTATCGAAAATTGAAGCTGGCCTGGCTGGGGAAATGCGGTAGTTGGAAGTTGGTAGTTGGTAGTTGGCTTGGCCAACAACACCAAGTACACCGGTATAAATGGCTCAAAAGCGTGTTAATAGCAAAGTAGCAGCTGAAAACGAACAGTAAGAGCAGCGAAAACAACAATAATAATAACAATGACCAGCCGGACAATTTTGGCGGATTTGGTGCAAATACACAAAGAACAAATGTTTATTTTAAAATTCTAGCTTAATTTACCTATCGTGAATAAAAAAAAAATGTTTTAAATTTTAGTAGGCATTCTAAAATTAGGGGTTTGTTACCTAATTAAGTTAAAAATCTATTATACATTTTACAAAGAAATGAAATCCTAAGAATTAAACACTGCAAATTTAAGAAAATAATATATTTAAAATATTAGTGAAAAAGTAATCGCTTCATTTAGCCCACATTCCCACATATATTTATTTATGTCTTTAAATTCTAACACAAAAAATCATATTTCTATAAGAAAGTAAAATAATGCTGACTAATGTTGGCTATATTTTCTCTGTGTGGGCCATAAAAATAAATCATTGAAGGTGGCAAGGGGCTGGTGGGTGGTCGAAACGGTGGCACAAATTCGAAGCCACTTGATGAGTGGTCATTTACCCAAATTTCAGTTTGAGAGTTAAGGCGAAGGTCGGGCCCTAGAAGCAGTTTAATCCGTTGCACTCGTAACCAGTTCATGGTCAATTTTTAGAGGGCTTTAATTGTTACAATTTAGACTGCGTGACTTGGCTGCTTTCCCAGCTGCGAAATTGTGTGTGCAAAACAAAACTGACAACGGAGATAAAATATATCCACTCGTGTGCATGGAGATTATATGGTCATGCGAGTAACTAAGCCAACTTAACCACTGCGGCTATAGTAAAATTGCACATACATCGGTAATTTATAGTGCCCGCCTTCTTGTTACGTTGCCCCACTCAGTGGTGCTTTTGGTGGTTCAGTGGCTCACTGCGCGCGAAATGAAAAGCCAAAGTAAACAAGTCAATTGCACTTGGAGTACATTTAGCGTTTAATTAATATTAATGCTGCCATTGTGAGTGAATTCAGGTACTCTAATCGTGGGCCCACGCAACTGCTCATTCATATTTATGAGTGCACTCTGCTAATTATCACTTTTCTGCTCTGGATAGAAGAGCCTAAATAAATTATTTAAATTATGTTTGCCAAGTTAATTGACGCCCTTACTATTCCACATTTTCTATTAACTGTTTTTTATCTATTGAGTTGAAATAGGTTTTTTTTGTGTACCGTTGTGTTTTCACCGAACCCCAAAAGTTTCAATGTTTTTATATTTGAATATTTCTTGACTTATTTAAAGTAGTTTTCTTTTTATTCCTTTTAAACCAAAAGGTTAGGATAACATTTCTAATAAACAATACATTTAAAATGTTTCTTTATTTAGTATTGGAGTCCTCTTAAAATAAGTTTCTAACTTATTCAAAAGAATGGCTAAAATTAAATATTTTGAATTTTAAATGTTCGCTCTAAAGCTCCCCCTAGTGGATCAGAGACGTACTTAATTCGATTGCTTGATTGAAAGTTGCTATCGATAGTCAAGATAACGGAACCATCGTGTGTAAAAAAAAATGGGGTGCTGCCAACCGCTTTTTTACTGGCAACTCCGTGACAGCCATTGAATCTGGCAACACCGTTTAAATAAGGAACCAACTAAAACTAAATGAAATAATCAAGCTAAAATCCGGGCTAAATCGACGCGGAGCAAATGCTAATTGGCTGCCAGCGAATTTGGCTGTCGTGCGTCAGATAAGAGCGGATAAATGGCCAAAAACCGGGCAGCTGTGCATGAAAAAAAGTGAAAAGTGCTGTTAACAGCGAGTAGCGTGTTTGTGTGTGTGTGTGCGTGCGAGTGCGGTGTGCGTATGTGTGTGCGTGTCTTACGTTGCAAACAAAATTTCTTTACAATTTTTTTTGCATTTGATCGGCGGCAGAAGCGGCGTTCTATAACTTTGTCCCCGGTCCGTATAGCGCAGCATTGCCCGCAAATGTTGCTCCCCCGATATGTGAGTGCCTAACCTAGCGGTGGGGGCGGGGCCTGGGGGTCTGGAAATCAGCAAACCTAATTAAGCATCTTTAACCCATAGCCGTGCATAAATTATCGCCATAATTATAACTGTTGTTTACCTAGTGCGATTTTGGGGCCCGCGACTTGTGGAGATTTCTTTTGCCAAATCTGTCGCCCGTATTTCCCAGTGACCTTCATAGCCGAGCAGCAACAAAATCAATAGTAATATAGTTTACGATGCATTCGCCGAGCCACCCACCACCCCCTTGCCGTTTTTACATAATTATGGCCAAGTTCACGGGTTCATGCCTATATCTATTCAATTGGTTTTTGATTGGCTGCAGTAACGAGCGTGGGATTATGACATTAAATATTGCCTGATGGGATGACTCCGCCGCATGTGATCGGGCAACAAAAAAAAAGGTGCTGCAGGCACCCACCGAAAAAAATCTAAAAAAAAAAAAACAGCTGACCGAGGCTGAATTAAAAAGCTTTGCTTTGCCAAGCTTTGAAAGTTATTAGACGCTGGAGAAGATGGCACAGATATACACCGCTACTGATACCCATATATTCCCCCTTGAACTTCGGTATTTACCTGGCTATGAATCACTAGTCGAGTCCCCGCATGTGTAGATTAGTAATTGATTATCAATCGCGGGCCCCTTATCGCTGGGAACCAGTTGTGATTGTGGCCAGTCGCCTGGCATTGCTCACCCCGATTGTTTCCACAATTCTACCTATTGCAACATGTCCGGTTCTAATGGAATATACCTTCTCACCTTGCAGGATAATGAAAGATGCACGAATATGACGTAAATGAGCGCAAAGAGGAACCAGCCAGTCTTCCACCCACTCAAAAGGATAAGCAGGAGGATCAGCCCAAGCAGCAGGAAGATCACCAGGATTCACCTGAAAACAATAGCCAGCTCCAGCTCCCACAGTTTCCAGCAAATCAGCAGCAGGAGGAGCAGAATAAGCAGGATACAGACTGCAAAAGCAGCCAGCCAAATCAGCAGCAGGCTGAGCAGGAGGAGGAGGATATCTTCGAGGTTTCCATTCTCTATCCTTTGGTAGTCTGCGATCAGGTGGCCACTAGTCAGGTGATTGTAGTAGCCGACACGCCCACTACTTCGCCTGTTAAGAAGCGACAGCGTCGCGTTTATGTCGCCGACTCCACGCGCTGCTCCAGTCTACGTTCCCGCCAGGAGTCCACCTCCAAGGACTCGCTCGAAGTTGGCCTAAAGCAGCCGGAAGTCGCCCCACCACCAGCGCCTGTCCAGGCGCCTTCGCCCACGCCCACAGAGACCACTGAATACATAGCACCAGGTAGGATTTGGCACCAAAATCCCAGGCTTCACTGTACCCGTTCTCGACGACAGCACATGTTAGCAACAAATATTGTGATTAGCGTAGTTATCAAATTATATAACACCGCTGTGGTTACGTTTGTCCAGATAGCTCTTTTTGATTATCACAGAGCAGATTATTTTAATCTGTCTTACGCCACAATGCTCAATTTTGTTGGTTCCTTTTTTGTTAAATCAAATTTGATAAAATGTTACCTTTATTTTTCTTCAATTATTTACAATATTAATATAATAGTTAAATATTTAAAGCTGTACACAAATCTTATTTCACATCACATCTTATATCCTTACTAATTCAGAATGTTTTTCTTTCAGAACTTTTTAAACCAGAGTTTTGGAACCTCATCGAAGAGGCGCAGGAGCCAAAGGCCGCTGGCAAGAAGAGACGCGCTGCAGGGGGACTTAAAAGGACGCGGGGCAACAAGCTTCTGAGGGAGATCGAGATCCATTCGCCAGAAACGGCGGCCGCAATCGCGGCAGCGCAGGCGGAACTCAACGCAACAGGAAAGTCGGGAGCAGCAGGAGCGCGGGCCAGCCGCAAGAGGACCAACACGATGTCTCTGTACGATCGGCGATTCCAAACGACCACCGACGAGCGTCGCGTGGCCAACGGATACGGAGGCAATGGAGCGCGATCCGGAAACGGTTCCTCAGCCAACGAAATCGAGACCCAGGAGCTGCAGAGCCATCAGTATTACGGCCCCAGCGGTGGCAGCAATGCATCGGGAACGGGCACTGGATTAAACGGCAGTGCGGCGGCCCTGAACCACGCCCCTTCCATGGGCACGCTCTGCAACATTGGCAACAGTTGCTACTTAAACTCGGTCGTCTACACACTGCGCTTTGCCCCGCACTTTCTGCACAGCCTGCACCATCTGATACAGGACCTGAATGTGGTGCAACAGACGATTGTGCGACAGCAGACGGCTCGATCAGCCTCACTCGGCCGGAACGTGAGTGCCGCCCAGTTGGAGCACGCGCGTAGCTGGAGCAGCAAGGATCTGGCCACCAGTTCGGATCAGTACAGCGGACTGAACGGCGGAGTAACTAGCGCAAGCAGTGGCAGCAGCTCAGGCAAGTCGACTCATCAGTCGGTCACCGAGAAACTCCACGAGCTGTACAACAACCTGCACGGCAACGAAATGGCGGACTCCACGGAGCCCTACCACGCGGACACGCTGCTGCATGCTATCCAGGATGTAAATGCCACCTTCGAAGGCAACCAGCAGCAGGACGCACACGAGTTCCTCATGTGCGTGCTAAACTGCATCCGCGAAACCAACCAGTCGTTGATCAAGGCCATCGGCGAGTGTCCCGAGGTCATAGCAAATGGGTAAGTGATCTTTAAAAATAAGATCAGGAAAGAACTGTCAATAACTTGCTCTATTTCTGCAGCTACATAGCCAACCCGGATGAGGTCGATACCGGGGAGTCCCAGGATCGCACTGATTCCGCCGCGTCACAGAATCCGAGCTCTGGCAATGGATCGCTGCCAACTAGTCAAATAACCACGACCAAAACGTCGTTCTTTTCTCGCAAATCAAAAAGAAAAGACGAGGTCAAGTCATCCAAGTCGACGCGCGTTCAGTCGCCGCTCAAGGACAACAGTCCGACGGCAACGAGCGGAGCGGGCACGGCCCACGCCACCGCCAACAGCCTGTTCTACCTGAACACAGTTGATCTCAGTGGCGCCAGCAGTACCAGCGGCAGTAACGTTGTCCCAACAAGTGTTGCATTACCGACAGCATTACCAGCGCCACAGGCCACAAAATACTCCAGTGATGACGAGATGAATTCGGCCACTGTGCTGAAGGACAAAATGCGACTGGAGGACCGAATACGTGAGCTGAATCTGAACTTTTTCAGCTCTGACTTCGAGGGCATTGTGGTGCTGACCACCAAGTGCTTGAGCTGCGAGACGATTACGCGGCAAAAGCAGGGCATGCTGGATATTTCTGTGCCGGTGCCGATCTCGGGGTACGACAATGCCGATCTGCAGGACAAGCCCAGCACCTACATACAGGTGAGTGAGTTCAAAAAGGGGTATTATACGATTTTACTAATTTCTTAACGATTCCAGAATTCGTGCATCACGAAGGAGTATTTCCGCGGAGAGAACAAGTACAGCTGCAACCAGTGCACCGGTTACACCGAGGCCATAAGGTCCATCTCATACGAGGTGCTGCCTCGGTTGCTTGTCATCCAGCTCAACCGTTTCTCAGGCGGCATGGAGAAGGTTAGTACCTATGTGCCCACCACCTTCACTCTGCCCTGCTTTTGCGCCACCTGCTGTGAACTGGGCGAAGGCAACAAGCTGCACGTTTACAAGCTATACAGCGTCATTACCCACGTGGGAGCCACGTTGACGGTGGGCCACTACATCGCGTACACCTGCTTCCTGGATCTGGCCAGTGACTACGTGAACTGTCCGAAGGATCGAAGGAACACGATGACGGGCTCGCAAACGACGTCTTCGCAGGCGGTGGCCTCCAACGAGAATGCGGCTCCAAACAACGGAAGCAGCTCCGTGGCCAGCACTCCAGTCATTGCTGCTGCCTCGGCGTTGGCCTCCTCGGGCAACATTCTGATGAAGAAGATGAAGTTCGGACGCAGCAAAGCCTCCAGCAGTGGCGATATGAGCAAGAACGTGAAGCAGGTGAATGGGACCAGCAGCAAGAACATCACCAATGGAATTGGGAAACTGAGCATGAACACAACATGCCAGGGCGTCAACTGCTGTGCCATGAGGCTCTGTTGCAGCCAGCAGACGAGCAGTAGCAACTCGGCCAGTTGCAGCGACTTTAGCGAGGAGTCGCTGCAAAACGGAAGCAACAGCAATCTCAACTTCGGCGGATCGGGTACCGCAGCCTATCCCACGGGCTACGGGAGCACAGGACGCGGTGGTGTCAGAGCCAACTACGCCCACGGAGGCACAGATCCCATTTGGTACATGTGCGACGATGATAAGATAAAGGCCATGACCCAAAGGGAGTTCGAAGAACTCTTATCGCCAACTCGGAAGATCACAATAACTCCGTATTTGCTATTCTATGCCCGATTTGATCTGCAGCCTCAGAGGGCTACACCGCCGAAGGCGGGAACATCCTCAACGCCTCCGCCACCAGCGTCGGCTCAGAGCACCTGGTCGAATGACAACGTGCCCAGCAGCTCGCACAAGATTTGAGGTTGCCCCCAGTCGCAAAAATGATTGGCAAAACGTACATCATCGGCATACTGATCGGATTGGAGATGTCTCTAGCCTAGAATAATAAGCAAAAGAAGAAGTCTGTTTGTTAAACAATGTAATCATACTAAGCTCTATCGTTTATCTACATGCATAACTATTCATTAACTAACCAGTGGTTTGACTGAGGCCTCAATTCCAAACGCCCAAAGGCACCATCTTCCCATATCCGAAGACCTTATAATTTTTGTTTTTATTAGTAACAATCAGTTCAGTCTGTTCATTCTATTAATGTAATCGTATCGTTATTAAATAAACATACCGATCGCGTCACTTTGAAAAAACGAATTTAAAACGTTGAGATTGTTTGCTCCATTGAATGTAACTGACATTCGCAAAACGTTTTCGATATACTCGTACATAAATTAAAAGCGAAAGCAATAAATTTAACAAATCTTTGATTCAAAATAGTGCATGGCAGAACAAGCGAGTGTTGTAATAATAGTAATTATTATTAATAGTAATGAATAATCTCCAATATTCTCATAGGACATACACACCACGTTGCATTGGCATCAGCGGTTGATTTTTGTGTTTGGCAGGCGATGGAATCTGTAATAATTACAGCATACATATGGTATCTGGAATGGTTTATTGTAAACAATGAGCTATACCCACGCAAACACACAAATATATACGAAGTGTTGAATAGTTGTTAAACTTAAGACACACCTCAAATTTAAAAGTGAAATGTAATTGATTGAATCGAAGGTAGCGGACAAACACAGATCAAGCGAACAAGAACAACTGAGAATTGTTATGAAATTGATTGCATAGTTTATAAAAACGTTTTCATATGACAAGCTGCAACAGAACTTCATTTACTCACAAAACACACACGATTGTAATGTAATATTGATAAATAACTGTAATAAAATTAAAATATCTGTAATAATTGTAATAGCACACTACTTACGCAATATTTTTAGTCGATTAGCCTTAGTTTTTCCATGCATTACATGACTCTAGTTTAGTTCAGTTCGATTTCTTTTCCAAGAGCGCTGCTATAGTGATATTAACATTTACAGAGCAAAGATTTGTGTACATTGTATGTGTAAAGATTACATTTAACAATTAATAACATTAACACTGATCAACATAAGAAACCGATTCAGCAGTTAAATGCAACACATAAATTTAATTACGAAGCGGCTTTGTTGAAGTGAGAACCGTTTGATTCCAATTATATTTATGTTTATTATTGATTAGCATTATAGAACATGCTTAACTAAATATACGAAATATACAACAGACACATAATAATTGAAGTCTAAATGGGAGATAGCCCTACAAATGGTCCTTAATTCTGGATGTAAGGATGCAAAGCTCTTATGATAAACCGTTTGGAAAGCCCATGCCGATTCATGCTTCCGAATGACTGACTTCGAGTCGAAGATCATCTCTAGCAAACGCTGCAGCAACCACACCTCCCGTGAGCAAGATAGAGCATCGATAATTGACAACGTTTCGGTTGCCACATTGCTCTTTTGGTACCGCGTCCAGAGAAACTCCCAATCCTCATCGGATCCATACTTTATGGCGGCGCAATAAACGATGCTTCGTACATCTTTGGGCACCGGATTCTTCTCGTCAGGATTGGCTGCCGATCGCCAGCTGCGGAAGTAGGCCAAAGATTGGGGCACACAGTCGGGTACCTGGTGCTGGCATGCCCAGGTCGCTACAGGTGTTGAGAATATAGAAGTCGTAGGTCGGGCTCACCTCCCTGGATGTTACGCAGTTAGACTTCTTCCTTCCTCCGCTAATTTGACGAAGAGTGATCTGGGACTCATCGATGTCCAGTCCTTTTGAATGAAGCGTTATGTTGTTGGCATTCAGCAGGGCTTCAATTTGGATTTTCACTGTTCCGTTAAAGCGAAACTCCTCAGGATTTTCCAGCCGAGTTGGGTTGCGCAAGTCATACTTCTGCGGCCAAAGAGCCACTGGCAGGCGATAGTGGTTATAGCTAGAATCAGCCTTGGTTAAACCCAAGGTAAGGGTGACTACCAGTAGTAAAGACCACTTCATAGTCGATTCTTGGATGATAATTTTAAGGATATGATTATTATTTTAAATAGGGACCCTGTCAGTTAACTAATCGGTCAACAAAATATGGGCACACATCTAGGTGATTTTAAAATCATATTAATTGAAATAACTATAAGCTTATCTCTTACACACGCTGAGTCTATGAACTTAGAAAATAATCAAATTAGGTAATATTTTTTACAAAGAAAGTATACGAAAAGAAAAGGGCGTAATCGGATTTAAACCCAGCATCAATGAAAATCAAATATATATAATAAAAAAATTACTACAAATGTGTGCTATAAATGTATGAAAATCCCTGCCACAACGTTATTTTTCCCTTTTAAAGAATATTTAACTTATTATTAATTATTAGTTATGTTGTTTCGCAAAAAGTTATATTTTTTACCCGTACAACTTTATTCTGAACGCTTAATAGACTTCCTAATGCAACAGAGTACGAGGACTGAATGTGAAAAATGTAACGTTAGACACCATTTAAATATTTTATGAGCGCCTTGCGTAAAGAGAGGAAAAAGTGAGATTAGTTGAGCAATTAATATTGTTATCATGGATCACTTCCCTGAAATAAATTGAATTGAATTAAGTAAATAGAATTACTTGGCGATCCGATAACCTATAATACTAGTGCTAATCACAACTCGACTAAACATTAACTAGGAAAAGATAGTTGGCCAAATATGAAGTTAACGCTTTAATAAAGAGGTTTCTTATATTATACATTGTAATCTTAACAATAAGGCTAGAAAGTGTTCAGAAGCTTTTGAAGAGCAAGGGTGAATTTTTCATAATTTCGCTCCTTCCATTGCACGTTGGTCAGTATTATCTCCAAAGCTTGACTAGTTGCCTGTTCTACGTCCTTGAACACTTTTTTAGAATTTACGATAAAGGTTTTAAACTCATTGTAGTCCTTCCTGGTAAAGATTTGTTCGGAAAGCGGCGCTAAAAACTCAGCCATGTACTCAGATTGAGGATGGTAGCTAAAAACAAAAGAAAAATGGTAGTTATAAATCTTTCTTAGAACAATAGAAAATAAATAAGCTTTACTTACAACTCGGAGATTGAGTCCACATTTTCCATCAAGTACTTTTTGGCCAACAGAAAGCCTATATTGGTGGAGGCAATTGATTGGAAAACCCCGGCTGAATCCTGCTTTCGAATGGCTCCCTTTGCATCGAAAATCCTCCCTAGATAACGCTGCAGTTGCCACACCTCCAGCGAACAAGCCAGAGAATCCATGATGGTTTCCTTTTCGGTCGCCACATTTGCCTTCTGATACCGCGTCCATAGGAACTCCCAATCCTCGTCAGTTCCATGCTCAATAGAAGTGCAGTACACGATGCTACGAAAGGCGATGGGCACTGGATTATTCTCGTCGGGATTAGCCTCCGATTGCCAACTGCGGAAGTATGATAGCGACTGGGTTACGCAATCGGATACCTGGTACGAGCACGCCCAGTTCGCCACCATCGTCTTCAAAAGGATCTGATCCGGCTGTTGAATTGCAGGATTTGTATCGTTGATTCCGTTGAGATCCTCGTATATCGGGGTAATCAGCTTCCTTATGTAGCGCTGTTGATAAAAGCTTGCAGTTGGGGGAAATACCTTCTCATGAAAAACATACACACCTTGAAAAACTTAAAGTTTGGCGTTTGTCGGAAAATGCCATTTACAGCCTTTAAATTGTCAAAAACCGATTTCCAGGGAAGGAGCTCCCGTTCCCTTTCCACATAACTAATCAATTTAAGTGCGACATCGTAGTCCTGCTCTCCCGTCCAAGCGAAGTACGAGATATCATCTATAAGCTGGGCCCTATTTACCACGTGGATGGTATCGTACTCATCGCTGTTCAAAGTATCGATCAAGAGTTTCCAGTTCTGGGCATCGTAGTTGACCTTATAAGGCGATGACAGCTGGTTGTTGAAGATCACCCACTGATCTGGTCCAGGCAGATCCTTAATTGTCTTTGGGAGACTGTCGCCTGACTCGCTGCACTCCATCCACGTCTGGGGTGCCGTGTTGTTAAAGTCCTTTTCCTCCTGGGTCGTGTAGGTCAGTGGAATCCACCAGCATCCATTTCGGTGTATCCCAGATGCATTGCTATTTAGAAGGTAGCGTTCCTGTGTGAGTTTCGCAGTCCTTGTCGTATAGTCACGTGTTACGTTGATTACGGGATATCTAAAAAATTTAAATATGTTTTTTTCCTTTTTTCTTTTACTTTAATGTTGAAACCTACCCAGTTTGCAGGGTCCACGAGTCCATGATTATCTTAAGTTCATAGTCCTTTGGTAGAGCACCAATTTTATGGGCTGCTTGAGTAAGTGATTCCCAAAGATTATCCTGCTCCGCATTCTTATAAGCGTATCTTTCCAGATACGATTTCAGGCCAGTCCGGAATGACTCTTCTCCCAGGAACAAGTGCATCATGCGCAGAACTGAAGATCCTTTCTCGTACGAGATATCATCGAAGCTCTCGGAAATCTGCGAGACCATTTCAATGGGTCTCGAAATGGGATGGCTACTTTCCAAGGAGTCCCTTCGGAAAATGGTTAGCATGTTGGACACCGACTCCAACTGCATGGATCGCCATTCCGGATGGATGTTCTCCAGGCCCAAGCTAGCCACATAAGTGGCGAATCCCTCGTTGAGCCAAAGATCATTCCACCAATTCATGGTGACAAAATTTCCAAACCACTGATGTGCCAATTCATGGGCAACTGTATTCGCCAGCTCCTGTTTGTCTTCCTGCGAGGAATACTCAGCGGAGTACAGAAGTAAACTCTCCGAGTAGGTGACCAGACCCCAGTTCTCCATGGCACCCGCACTAAAGTCGGGTACGGCGATCTGATCGACCTTCGGAAGCGGAAACTTGATTCCGAACAATTGTTCATAGTATTGCAGTACTTTTGGTCCAAACTCAGCGGCATAATCACACTGATCGATGGCATTAGGTCTGGCCCAAGTGCGGAAAAGAGTGCCACTCGGTAAAGTTGATGGCTTATGGGAGAAATCGTTTATGGAATACGCTACCAGGTAGGTCGACATTGGCAATGACTCCTGGAACTGGGTCCATACGTAATCGGGAAGCGACTCACTGAAAGACAGGAATCACAAATGAATATGTTATATATATATATATAAATTATAATATACTGTGGCTTTGTTTCCTTCACGGGCATATTGCTGAGTCCAGTGAGCTTCTTGTGATAGCCCAAGGTGATCGCAAAGGGTGCTTTATAGCCAGGCTCATCGAAGCAGGGAAATGCCAGTCGAGCCGAAGCCGGTTCGAATTGGGTAATGGAGATCCATCTGCAAGAAAATAAAAAGATCGCATATATTTCTTTAAGTCAACATTTAATCCCATCTAACCTGGTCTCATTGGCCACAGGATCCTCGTAGGAACTTCGGTAATAGCCAGCCAACTGTTCTTGTAATTTCGCTGAAAAGGGCAAAATCAGCTCGTAGACATGGCCACTTAAGAGTTCTTGGCAGGTGTTGAGAATATAAAAGTCGTGGGTGGGATTTATTTCGGTAGAGGTAATGCAGTTATCCGGATTGCCTTCGCCGCTAATTTGGCGAAGAGTAATTTGGGTATCGTTGATAGCCAGATCCTTCGAGTGAAGCGTTATGTTATTGGTGTTCTGCAGGGCTTCGATTTGAATTTTCACAGTTCCGTTGAAACGAAGATCCTCAAGATCTTCCAATATTGTCAGGATGCGCAGGTCGTACTTTTGGGGTCGAAGAGCCGTCGGTAGACGGAAGAAGTTGTAGCTGGAACCCGCCGTTGTTAAACTCAGGCTTAGTGCCCCGCATAATAACAAAAGCCACTTCATAGTCGAATCTGAAGTTGATATAATATAATTGTTTATTTAAATGAATTACAATTATCCTAAGCAGAATACTATTGAGAGATGGATACGTTTTAATATTTTGCAAGTTAATATCTTCTTCCGTGCTATACAAGAAAAATATATTAGCAAAACTTGTTTTCTAGGTATACCATTCAATTTCATACCTTATACTGTTGAGGTCAATAAACTCAAAAGGTAAATAGAAAAAAATTCTAGTCATTATCTACCAAATAAATTTGTCAAACAGAACAGTTCTTATCAACAATATTAAACCCTTGATACTCAATAACTAAAAAATTAGAGCAAAATTAAATATTGTAATGGAAAAAAATCTGGGTAACTGACAATTAGTTAAAATTGATAGTCAGGTCACAATCATATTTTAATGAGCACTATTCCGGAATTAATTACATCGCTGTATTAATTATATGATAATCGCAAAAGCGTAATAAAGTCATACATATACATTGCTTGAAATGTATGCAGTAAACAGTGGAGTTACAACTTATTAACACATATAACAATTTCACAAAATTACCATCTGGTTCTTAATCTCTAATATTCACAAAATAATTTTTTGCCCATATACCATTCTACAATGTATTTTCCATTTACTTACACCTCTGAACACAACGGAGAGCAAACACCGAATGCTGCAAATTCGACGATGGAGCGGAATAAAAAGGTTTTTGAGCATGTAAGTTAGAGGCTCTAACTTAGAGAGAGTGCAAATTTATAGAGAATAACTTGAGATTCTTTTGATTAGCACGAAATCTCTGAGCGGCTAGCTGTCTATAAAATATTAACGGGCGTACTTTCTTATGCATAATCCTTTATACCCCGTAATTATACACGTTACTGATTAAGTAAAAGGGTATCTGTTAGTCAAAGTATTCGTCTAAAGCGTTCTCTCTTGATTTTAAGGTTTTTTTTACTATACTACAAGAATTGGAACACTTCAAAAAATACTGTTATTTTAATTCTAAAAATGTTGCATACTTTTGTACTTCGTGAAAAACAAATAATAACGAATGTTTGCCAGGGGCCGCCGGTAATGGAGGGTCACAATAGAAAATTCGTGTGAAGGGAATAAGGCTGGAATAGTATGCTCGGCGTACAATTGAGAAAGTTTTAAAAAGTGTATTTAATGACGAGTGTAATAATTTTTCGTCACAAATGCTGATTTCAGAACTTTTAAATGTTGAAGGTGCGATCGTCACTAGTTTTTTACCTCGTTAAGAGGTCTTTTTATTTGATTACCATCACTAGCAATCAGTGTTGGAAAACGTCGCTCTGCCATCACATATTTCTTGACCGCCTCGTCTCGTGTATTTTTGTGCCGGATTTTTTGACTGAAAATGCACCTGCTGCGGCACCTTCGCCAGCTGAATGGCCTCCAAGGAGTGCGGCATGCCATCCGCCAGGTGTCCTCGGCGCCCACCAAACCCTCGGCCCTGCAGTATGAGCGGGATCCGCAGCCGCTGTTCACGGATGCCGAGACCCAGCGACTGCTCCAGTCCATGACGCAACTGAACTTGGACAAGGTGTATCGCAAGCGGACGGTGCCGGACAACAGCAGCGAAACCAAGTTCATGACCAACGAGCAGCTGGACAACGAGTTCCAGGACATGGTTGTCCGGGCCCAGCACATGCTCCAAATGCCACCAGTAGTGCAGATCAAAAAGGACGTGGAGCGGGTGATAGCCAAGGATCCGGCGCTCAAGGACTTCGCCAGCACCAAGTACGTGTTCACGGACATCACTTTCGGCCGAAGGCAGTCGGAGCGCAAGGTATTCGTCCGGGAGACGGACGGAACTCTGGCCCACGCCACTCTGGACACCACCAAGCGAATGAACCAGCTGTATTTCCCCCTGGAAGGTCGCCAGTCGTATACTCCTCGCATGTTCGCCCTGGAGGAGCTGCTGTCCAAGTGCCTGGCGGAGCACAAGTACGAGTTTGTGCTGGACCGCCTGCTGGTGCAGTACGAGCCCCATGAGCCGGAGTTCCATAATATTTCGGCGCGCGTCTTCGAGCATCTCAACGAGTCCAAGCAGTTCGAACTTTTGCGCTCCACCCGTCACTTTGGACCCATGGCCTTCTTCTACGCCTGGCACCGCTGCATCGACGATCTGCTGTACGACATGATCCGCCGCGACTACCTGCACAATGCCGTAGAGCTGATTGCCTTGAGCTACAAGGTACACAAAATCCCCGTAAATTACCAGGCTACCCTGACTGAACTGGACAAGCTGCACCGAACGCCGGCGGAGCTTGCGCTGGCGGAGCTAAGGAGCGTCTTCCGACGACAGGATGATAAGCAGAACATTGAGCAGGAAATCCACACGGCCATTGGCAAAACGGAGCCAGATTTCGCCGCCGATGAGATCAGTTTGAAGTTCATTGAGCAGTACATTGCCAGCGAACACTCGCTGAAGAAGGTGCAACTGGAGCTGGCGGTGCAGACCCTCAAGGAAGTCAACCGGGAGAAACTATTGCTGTTCCAGGGTTTGAAGAAGGCCCACGGGGTTCAGGCCTCGTAGGATCTTTTCGCTTTATTGTTATTGATTTCTATATACTAATAAATACCAGCTAGGTCAAAGATTTGTATGCGCCGCTCATAGCTCCTTGAAGAGGACCTTGGAAAGCTGACGGTGATGGCCGAGAATGCACCTCCTTCGGTGCCGCAGGCAAACTCTCTCGCTGCTGAAACGCTTCAGGCAAACGGGGCAACGTGTGGGATCACTTCGGGCCTTGGGCAGTCCATTGTGTCTCCGGAAGAGCACGAGCACTTTCGCTTTGGAACACTTCTGCTGCCTATGTCGATGGATTAGAAAGGAGGTGGTTGTCTTAAAGAAACGCCTGCACTGGAGGCATCTGTAGCACTTCCTGCTGCTGTGTTTTATCAGGTGTTGCAGCAGCTGCATCTTCGAGTGGCACATGGCATTGCAAAGCGGATGTGGGCACTTGAAGAGCATTGTGGCCTTCCTGGGCGCCCGGGCGGGGCAACTGAAATTGTGACGCTTCAGGAGGCGCTCGTGGTCCAGCTTTTGGCCACAACTGAAGCACAGCGCACTGGGTCCAAAGTGGGCCGTCATGTGCGACTGATGCTCCAGCAAAGTGTTGGCTATGTCGCCGCAGATCTGGCACTCTAGCATTCCGTTGGGAAACATGCTGGTGTTCTCGCTGACATAGGTGAGGAATCGGGCGTAGTCGTTGGCCTCCGCAGCCTCCTTGGGCTGCTCCTCGGGCAGGTTCCACTCCACCGAGTCGCGGCGGCACTGAATGCCCACGTCCTTGGTGCTCGGCTCCTTCGTTTGGATGGCGCGCTCTCTGCGTGGAACCGTGGCCTCACTGGCAAACATCCCAGTGGATTCGTTCAGCTTATCCTGCTGTGCGGATTTCGGGAGGGCATCCGCAAGCGAACCATTGGTAATCGGGTCGTGGAGCCCGTTCACCGGTATGGCGTTCTCCATCGCGTACCTCCTCGTCACCCACTTGGTCTCCACGCACACGTATTCGGGCAGCTCGTAGACTTGGATGGGCTTAACTATGCGGACGGAAGCGGGACGAGTGTTGCTCCCGGTGGACACCGTTCGACCGGCGTTCTTCGCCGCCCCGTAATGGATGTTCATCTTGTGGTGGGCCATCCGGATGCAATCAAGTGTCAGCTGATCGATAGCTATTCCTTGCAGGTATACACATATCTATCGCGATATTTATGATCTATTATTTCTGCTAATATTTCGCTTAAAATGTAAGGACGCGCAGTTTTTGCAGGCGCAAAAAAATTGTGTGTTGTCAGTAGTGTTGCTGGTTTAGCTTTTTTCCAGCTATATTTTACTTTTTTGAATTCATACGCTAAAAAAATATTTATTTGAACTACTAATGTTTGACATTGAGTGTTAAGATATAAATATATTTTGACTTCAAATACCAAAATTTTAAAACTAAAGATTTTCCTAAAAAAAAAAGCTGATATTTCACTAAGTGTGCTGTTATGCGCAACAGGATGTTAACTAACAGTCCTGTTAGTTTAAAACTAGAATCTGTAAGAATTTCAAAATATCAAGGGTATTCCAGATATATTTTCCAACAAAATTCTCATTGAAAGTCCATGAATTTCTGCATTTAAACAAATATTATTAGGTGTGCCAGAAAAACAGATCTCCGCTGAATTCGGACTAAATTCAAATAAACAAATATATGAAACGTTTGTATAGGATACGCTTTATGGTTTCCAAATCCGTTTTTAAAACATAAAGCAATCGATTTTATTTATATTTTTCCTAAACAGAATATTTTTTATTTAAACTGATGAATGTTTATTCATTAATTACTTCGTTTTGAACCAATGATGTACAATTATGGTAGAAAATCCGTCCAGTCAGTAAAGCCCTACTTTTTGCTCTTATCCTTATCCTTGATGGTGTACTTGTCGTAGGACTTGGTGGGATCGTAGGGCTCCCATCGGCTGGCGGGGAAAATGTGCTTGTTGCGTTCGTACCAGGAGCGGAGGAGCACCTTGCCCGCATGCGACTCTTCCTTCTCCACGGAGGCGTCGCTGATCATGCGCACGTCGTCGTGAACGTCGAACGTGAAGAGCGGGCCGGATTTGCCGCGAGCCTTGGTCACAATGAAGTCGTAGAAGGAGTAGTGGTGCGGCAGGATCAGATCCTCCTTGACATACATCAGCTGGTCGGCCATCACCGTCTTCAGTTCGATGAACTCCTTGCGCAGCAGCTCCAGGCACTTTTGCAGAAACTGATAGATGGAGTTGCCCTTCTTCATCAGGACGTTGCGACGATGGCCGGAGCCATCCCAGTAGCTGAACGTAATGGAGATGTCCTCGTCCTTGAGCTCCGCCTGCTGCATAACCCATTCCTGGCGCAGTTGCTCGCGCAGTCTGTTCTCCTGCTCCTCGCGCTCGCGATCTGGTAAAAAGGAGGTGTCCACGTCGGGATTTTTGCATATTTTCTTCTTCTTTATGGGCACTATGTCGTCCTGCAACTCCGTCCACTTGGGCTTGACCTTGGGCTTCTCCTCCTCCTTTATCTTGGGCTGCTCGTCCTCCTGGTCGTCGTCTTCCTCCTCCTCGTCCTCATCCAGGTTAAAGGAGAGCGCTTGGATCTGCCGCTTCTGTTTGTTCTTCTCCGCCTGAATGGCCTCCAAGGCGCGCTGCTTCTCCCGATCCTTTTCATCCTTTTTCTGTGCCAGTTTCTTCTCCCGTTCCCGCACTATGTCCTCCTGCTTGGCCTTCATCTCGTCCAGGGTGACCAGGCCGATGGTCGAGGACTTGAGCTGCTGCTCCACGGCATCGTAGTGGGTGGCAAACTTGTTCTCAATCTTGTCCAGCTTCAGCTCCTCCTCGATCTTCTTCTTGCGGAACTCGATCTCCTGCTGCTGGATCTCGCGCTTCTTCATCAGCTGGGCGGCACGGCCCGCCTCGCTGGCGGCACCCTTATAGTGGGCCATTCCTTCTTAATTAAATACTACTCGGTTATTTTCACTAAATATTCAAGCAAAAAAAAGTAAACATCCAAGTAGTGTGACCGTGGCTCGAACATTGAAAATTCCTCTTTCGTTTTCCAAACAAGCCATAATGTAGGGTAATGCCTTAAAACTTTAAAACACTGCCATACTTCTATCTAGCTATTTTTTTTAAATATTTATAATTTATTAATTTTAAATATGGTTTGTTTGGCTTAAAAAGTTATGAAAAGAGTTAGTTCCCAAGTTTTATTCCTTTGTATCCCTGGGTAATTTGACAAGTCAACAGTTTTTGGGAATCCCCTATATGTACGTGTTTTCTTCCTTTATTTTTGTATAATCTTTCCTGATAAGAGTAAAAGAGTAAAGTCGACAAAAGAAACAGTAATTTGTTGAAAATTTGTACAATCGCTTGTGAATTTGTGACTGAAAAATGCAAATATGAGCGCAACTACGATACTTAATCTCAATAATTATTGTTTATACGAAATATTCCGACAAATCAAAAATAACTGCGAGTTGGAACATGACTCACAAAATAGTCGTTCCCAAGTGAATTACTGGGATCTTATTTATTTTGCAATCAGCTTCAAGAGATTCGTCGAAGATTTTCAGAAGTGGAACCGGGTCCTTTACAAGGATCTTCATATTGAGTTTGCCTTTTTAGCAGACACTGAGTCTATTACAATAGATTTGGTAGAAATATATGACTTATTGCAAAACCTTCCTAAAAGGGATAAGGAAATATATTGGGCATTACATGTAAATGCGATCAAGGAAAATAAAAGAATAAACGGTTTTAAATTGATATACCAACCAAAGAAATTTTACCCCGAACATTTGAAAAGGATGCAGGCCCTGATGAATGTCATTAGACACAAAAACACTCTTGAGCGACTTTTAATTCACTGTCATGGTGAGATTCTCCGCAAATAGTATATAACTATTGTGATCTGAACTCTTAGTTTACAGGCTATAGCTTCGAAAATGTGCCGCAGCTGGGTGAATTAACGTCGCTCTCTCTCAATGTTCGAATGGATGCCGAAGACTTGGTACAGTTGTGCCGATCAAATCCTCACTTAGAGTTCATTTCATTCACCAGTACCGAATTATATGGCAGGTTTACAGATATTTTGCCATACTGTAACCAATTGGTTCATCTGCGATTAACGATGAAGGCCGACGCATCAGAGTATGCTGCGTTGTCAAAATTGCCCAAACTTACTATACTGGAACTAAGGGGAAACCACACAGAGGGAACCCTTAAAAAGTTGTTTCAAGGTTTCAAAAATATGAGTCTCAGGAAATTGGATATTCCCAACACTTTGCTCACTATTGAAGAGACGGAGACGGTGATGAAAATCGAGTCATTATCAGACCTTTGGTGTGGCTTCAGTGACATAGCTTATTTGGCACATCTGAGTACCCCCAGTAAAATCAAATTGTACGCTAAGCCGGGTCAAATAATTTTAATGGACCATTTAATCAATGTGGTAAGGAATTTTTCGTTACAAATTGAAAAAAAAGATTTTTTTCGCTTAAATATTCAATTTATCGAGGAACATGAGAAACTGGTTGTAAATCTACAATTTCCTAGTGATAGAGAAGTAGCTGATACATGCCTTTCGAACATTGCTAATCACATAACCCGTACTATCCAGCTTTTAAATGTCGCGCAGTTGTCTTTATCTGGTAATTTTAGTGAAGACATGCTGAAAACTATTTTTCAATGCTTAGCGAGCCAACAGCCACAAATTCTTAGAAAATTAGATATCCCGCAACGGCGTATGATCAAAAACCAATGGATTCCTCTATCCTTAGAACTTGCTAGTACTCTTGCTTCTATTAGATCGTTAACTACCATTGTTAGTGACTTTCAGAATTTGAAGCAAATAATCGCCATGAAAGTCATGCAACTCAATGGTATTACGAAGACAGCAAACCGAGTGGATAGAATTAAAACTGAAGAGTGCGAGATAAGTGTGATCCATAAAAATAATAATGTGAACCTAGTTTTAAACATTGTCAATGTTCCTTTTAATATTGACGTTTTGGCTCCATTGGCCAATTTAAGTAACTTAAAAATTCTGATAATTAGGATAAATACATTCAATAATGAAAGAAAGAAAGAATATCGTTCTTTTATAAGGCTAATTAAGCTAATAAAAAACCTGCAGGAACTGGACATCGAGGAACTTAGCTGCGAAGATCTCATAGAACTGTCCGAAGTCCGAGGCCTGAAAGTCCTTAAATGTGGTTTTCACTCTTTCGCAAGTTTAGAACATCTGGCCGAGTTAAATCACCTCGAGTCTCTAACTATCACCACACATAATAAGGGATCTTTAAGAACCCTTTTTAATGCTCTCGCCTCAAAAAAACATCAAGTACTTCAAAGCCTCAGTATTCATAAGACAGAACTTACTTCCGAAGAGATTTTCCAGCTTGTTGGAATAATTTCCTTGCAAAGATTGCAGCTAGGGTTACCCACTAAAAAAAACTGGGAAAACAAATATAAAAATGTTTCACTCAAGGTTACTTCTGCTATGGAAACCCCTTTTAACTTGGAACTCATCGCCAATCTGCCAAAACTAAAGGAACTGAGTATTTACTTTGATTATGAACGTGAAGCTGTCGATAAAGTGTTAAGGGCTTTAACCTCGCCATCCCCGCGAAGAATGATCTTACTCTCACTTCCAACTCGGGATATAAGGTTGATATCCCAGTTTCAAGAACTGCGGTGCCTTGAATGCTTTGTCTACCAAATGGAGGATGTTAAATACTTAACCTTTCTAAGAAATCTGACAGAGTTACAGATACATAATCCACTAAAGTCTCCAATGTGGGAGCTCCTTAAGGAGCTGAATATTTTATCGAGTCTTCAAAGTTTGCAATTAGATGACACGGAGCTGCAATTTTTAGATGTTGTGGAACTAACGAAAATAAATTGGTTAACTCGATTACGAGTGGGTCTTGCCGAAAAACAGTTCATCATTATGCTGACCCAATTAGAAAATCTGGAAGTTCTGGAAATCACATCGACTCATTACGCAGAGGAGGATGAAATCAACTTTTGTGTTCAACTTATTGAATCATGCAGCAATCTTATATCAATTTCTCTTTATAAATATGATAATTTAATAACAAGAAGTTTCTATGATGCTATCTGGAAAAGTATTAGGCGTCTAAGAAATCCTGAAATTCATCCCCCATTCAAATTGCGCGTAAATTGGACTGGCATATATTACGTGGATGATGTGAGTATATTAATTCAGTAACTTGCGCTCCATCTGTAATCTATTTTTATATTTTAGTTGAATAACTACAATGATGCTTACCTTCAATTAGAAGGATTTCTGGACTCGCCGTTTTTACCTCCGAAATTTTAACAACCTATGTACATTGTACACCCAGAAAACATCTGGCATTACTTACCTGAATATTGCCTAAAACCATTGCCCTGTCTTTGTATTTCTAGTCACATCATTTCGAATTAAAATTGTGTACCAGAGTAAAGGACATCTGATAGTCGGGACTATCGACTATTGCGTTATTGAACCATATTTAACATTTTTGAAATAAACATTTGGTCGGTTTTTAGCCATGTCTTATGTATTTACTCACAATGAATTGGGTTTTTATTTAAGTAGTCTAAATTTACGTTGACTCATTCGAAGCTTCATCACGGTCTTCTGGTTTGTTCTCCTCATTGCCACCATCTGCAACTGCTCCATCCTGATCTCCATCTGCTCCGTCCTGATCTGCATCGCCCTGTTCGTCGGCATTGCTGTTACTGTTGGTGGAACTGTTGCCGTTGCTCTCGGCCTGCTCCTCCTGGTCAAATCCATTCGTGTGCTCTGGCGTGGGAGCCGTGTCATTGGCACTGAGTGGCGGGGTAATGCTCTGTAGCTTCTGCCGGGCAGCATGAACGAGCTTCTCCAGCTCGACGCACTCTGTTTCGATCTCGTAGTTTTTGGACACCAGCAGCACCCAGTGGGCCTCCAGGGAACGCAATCTTTCGCCCGCCTGCGTCTGCGCCTGCTTTCGCTGCCAGTTGACATCCTGGATGTCCTTCTTCAGCTGCTGCAGCTGTAGCTGAGCCTTTGCCTGCATGGCGGTGAATACCTCTAGGTAGGACTTCCATGCCTCCGTGCCGTAGTCGAGCATCAGTTCCAGATTAAGGGATCGCACCCACTGGTGCTCCAGCTGGGCCATTGAGTTCTCGATGGCCTCCTGCCAGGCGGACACCTCGGAAAGCTTGCCGGAAGGCGGCGGCGGCAGTTCGTAGCGCTTCATGGAGAGCGTCTCCATGGGCAGGCGGTTCTGGATGCGCTCGAACTCGTTGACCATCAGAGGAGTCTCAAATGGCGAGGTGGCGGGCAGCGGCAGGTGATCCAGGTAGTTCTTGGTGGGGCGATATCGCCGGCATTCCTCCTCCACCATGGCGAGGGCCTGGGAAAGAATAAGATTCCATTAAAAAATATAATATTATTTAAGGATGCAAGAGCAGATAATGGAAACTCCAGATGAAGCATCAACTCACCGATTCCCTGACGCCCACATCATCGTAGCCGTGATCTATGTAGGGCAAAGCATCCACAATAACCTCGCCAGCCATTATTTATATTTTTTTAGGGTTTTTAATAGTTTTTACCACAAATAAACAAAAATAAATGCCATTCGCCGAACCATTAGGCACTGGAGTGTTGCAGTCCTAGCTATTTTGTAGCTAAAATATAATTTTAAAAATAAAGCCAGAACAATGTTAATAACTAGCCAAAAATAAAAATTGAAATTTTTTAATTTCGTTTTTATTAAACTTATATGTATAAGCCAAAACATTAAATTTTATAAACGACTTCTAAAAAAACATGTAAAGTTAATTTTCTAAATGTTTATTTTTAACTTCGCTATTCCTGGATTTACATTGTGCCAGAACTGTTCAACACGGTAGCTGTTTTATTTAAATAACAACCTGTTTCCTAAGTAGATTAGTTATAATTTTGACGAGTAAGTTTTAAAAAACCCTTAAATTAATTTGCTGATCTATATTTTTTTACTACATTTTTAATTCATATTAAATTTGGGGAAATAAACAAAAGCGTTTGTTTACAGAGCGAATAGCGCTAAAAGCCAGTGCTGGGCAACGTCGAAGCAGCCCTGTTAACCTGACACTAGCCGCTGTTAGCGAATGCAACCCTGCTGCTGAACGCGTTTGGCAGCCATTTCCTGTACTTCTTTCTTTCTTCGTTCTTCTTATTAAAAAGAGGACGTATCTGCGTTTGCAGAATATTAAACACCTTTCATTGGGTTTGAAAATCAACGAAAATGGTGAGAAATGGACCCTAAGACGCCCCGCGACCGCCGCAGAGGCCAAGACACTGGATTTAACACACGAAACGACGGGAAAATAGTGCGAAAGTGTGGCCCTAACCTCCACGTGTTTGGAATGTGCGGCGGTGGCGAAATGCGGCTGTGATGTTGTGTTTTGTGTGATGGCGATAGTAAACTAAAACCGAATCCATTTGCAGAGCTTAGGCAACGCCAGGCCATTGGTCTCCGTGTACACGGAAAAGAACGAGCCAGCCAAGGACAAGAACATCTGCCTGCCGGCAGTGTTCAAGGCGCCCATCCGTCCGGATGTGGTCAACGAGGTGCACCAGCTGCTGCGCCGCAACAACCGCCAGGCCTACGCCGTTAGCGAGCTGGCTGGTGAGTAGCCCCCGCATAACTATCCTGTGCAGTAAGTCTAACCATTATTCCAATCCACAGGTCACCAGACCTCCGCCGAGTCCTGGGGAACTGGACGCGCTGTGGCCCGTATTCCCCGTGTCCGCGGTGGCGGTACCCACCGCTCCGGCCAGGGAGCCTTCGGCAACATGTGCCGTGGTGGACGCATGTTCGCCCCCACCAAGACCTTCCGTCGCTGGCACCGCAAGGTGAATGTCAACCAGCGCCGCTACGCCCTGGTGTCGGCCATCGCCGCCTCCGGAGTGCCCGCTCTGGTTCAGTCCAAGGGCCATGTCATCGACGGCGTCTCCGAGTTCCCCCTGGTCGTGTCCGATGAGGTGCAGAAGGTCCAGAAGACCAAGCAGGCCGTCATCTTCCTGCGTCGCCTGAAGATCTGGGCTGACATCCAGAAGGTGGGTAGCCCGAATTTCTGAATAAGTAGTTTGTAACTAATGTGAGATATTTGAAAGAAAGTCTTATATAGATGGATTTCCACGTTTTTGTGATAACAAGTTTTTGGCATTAGCCATATTAATGTCTTGCAAAAACTATAGTTTGGATAAAGTAACGTAGGCAATGCTAGTAGATTTCATTTCAAAAACTTCCATAGACTTTACAAAACCTTAATCGGCAGCGTGTAAGCAACTGGTTACTTTCCTAGTAGTCAGATGTTTGCTAAGCATTTCTGCGTTGCCAGATAAAAGGCTCTACTACAGGCGTTGCGATGGAAACTTAATCCACAGTTCCATCGCGGTAACCAGAGAGCTACAGTTATTTTCCCTTTCTTTTATTATCAGAATTAACCAATGTGGATTTACTATTTCGTATCCCTTTTTGAATCACAATCGGCAGCGTGTAAGCAACTTGCTATTTTAATGATAGTCAGATGTTTGCTAAGCATTCCTGCGTTGTCAGATGAAATGCTCTACTACAGGCGTTGCGATTGAAACTTAATCCACGGTTCCATCGCGGTAACCAGAGAGCTATAGTAGATTTCCAGTTTTAAGTGTCTTCTGCCTAAAGCAGGAAGTATTTATCCATCCAGATGGACCCAGTCTTAAGTAATTTCTGATAGACCAATCGGGGATTTGTAATGCATACCAAACTTCCTTTATTGTTACTTAAGAAACGCTCACCAGAGACTAATGTTTTGTATCCGTTTCCTCCAAATTCCACAGGTGTACAAGTCGCAGCGTTTCCGTGCTGGCCGTGGTACCATGCGCGACCGTCGCCGCATCGCTCGCCGTGGTCCCTTGGTGGTCTACGACAAGGACGAGGGTCTGCGCAAGGCCTTCCGCAACATCCCCGGCATTGAGACCATCAACGTGGACAAGCTCAACCTGCTGAAGCTCGCCCCCGGCGGTCATGTCGGTCGCTTTGTCATCTGGACCGAGTCGGCGTTCGCCCGCCTGAACGATCTGTTCGGCACCTGGAAGAAGCCATCCACCTTGAAGAAGGGCTACAACCTGCCCCAGCCCAAGATGGCCAACACCGACCTGTCGCGTCTGCTCAAGTCCGAGGAGATCCGCAAGGTGTTGCGCGATCCCCGCAAGCGTGTGTTCCGCAGCGTGCGTCGCCTCAACCCCCTGACCAACGTGCGCCAGTTGATCAAGCTGAACCCGTACGCCGAGGTCCTTAAGCGTCGTGCCGCCCTCGCCGCCGAGAAGCGCACCGTGGCCAAGGTGCTGGCCAAGGCCAAGAAGCAGAACACCGAGCTGGCCAAGTCGCACTTCGCCAACGTCGCCACCAAGGCAGCGGCCAACCGCGCCAAGCTCCTGGCCGCCCGCAAGAAGAAGGTCGCCGCCAAGAAGCCAGCGGCCAAGAAGTAAACTTACTTTCCCCCGAGTAGAGCTGACACACTTTTATATTATAATAAACCACAAACGTTGTATGAATTTTATTCATAATACATAGAGTGCGACAGTAATGCTCATTAAACTCTTAGTCTTAGGCACATTTAGTACGGCTCTCTTTTTGATCGTCCGCTGTCTCGCCGAGCGATCCATTATCACCAGCTGATAACAGCAGATGTGGCGGCTGTAGCTTTCGTTATCTTCGTGCCGCCGCCGATCTTGGGCTTCGTACACGTTCGCACATCCATATGTGCCGTACACACATATTTATTGTCACACGTTAATTGGCATTTAATTAAACGTCGAGCGTCGTCGTCGCCGCTGTTATTCCACTGTGAACGCTCGAGTTGCGCGGTTCTACGTATCGCGCATCAATCCCTCTGCTGGGCGAATAAAAAGGGAAAACAAAGGCAGCGCCAGAATAAAGGATATAGTTGATTCAATTAACCGATGTAATTGCGAGACGGCACTTCGAAGGCAAACCGGTTTATCGGAATAAGTGCAAATTCTACCCACTTTATGGCTGCGCTGGCCAAAAAAGTGTAGATGTATAGATGCTATCTTGAGCGAAATCTCAAACCTCGGATCATACGATATTTCTATGTGCGGTGCGGGTCGCGACCGATGTCTGGTTATATTGGGTAGAACGCAATAATATATAGCCACCACCGATCGGCCAGGAGAGCGGCGAGAGAGCGAGAGCAGTCTGAAAGAGAGGACGCTGGAGCGTTTCGATGCGCTGTCGTATCGCCTCCTCCATTTTCCATAAATATATTTTTTTTGCACTATAGTGCTGGTTGTCTGGTAGTCGCTGCCACTAAAAGGGTCGCTCTCCCTCTGATTAGTCGCGTTTAATCATCAGGGTCGCAGCGTTTCGGAGGGCACTTCCGATCACTTGCCCGCCGGCTGATGCCGGAGCATCACTTGGACTTGCCGCCACCCATCCAAGCCAAGCCAACATAATCGCCAGGCCATCATGTTGACGACCGTCCTGAACTTTGCCCAGCGCGTCGCCGAGATTTCTTTGCTCGGCGGCATCGAGATTGCATCAGTTGCCCTTATTGTCTACTACATATTCGCCAAGACGAGGTGAGTACGAATAGGCGTAGATGGAAGCCAAATAAATCCCATAAACTGGGTACATATGTATGTATATATGCTATGTGTGTACCGCCCCAACCTCCAAGTTCAAGTAACGCTGCCGAGGAAGAAGCGCCGTTATTCTTAGAGGCGCACTCGCAAGTTATCCAATGCATGCAAAATGAACCACAGTGGTGCTTCCCTAAGTCGAAAGTCCATTGGTCACACCACCTTTAGTGGGGGATATAATATTGGGCTTTTTCCAAAATAGGTCATTAATTGGGGATTATTTCTTATCTTAATGGCTCCTACCTGTTGTTTTGGCTCAATCTTTTATGGTTAAGATTACTTGGATGGAACACAAATTCTATTAAAATCATATTATACGTTACTAAGTTTAAAGATCGAAATATATTATCAGTAATCAAGCTGAAATCCAACTTTTTAGTTTTTCGATTAAGATTAAACAGCACCCACCTGTTGTTTTGCTTCTACATTTTATCATCTTGATTAGAAAAATATAAATAGATTTAAAAAAAACCTTGTGTTTATGATTATGATATTAGCAATATGTCATGAATCATGGTTCTGGTAGTTTTGACATTAATAGTTTGAATGTTGAAGACCCATAATTTTGTATACCTTTCGTACCATTGAAAGTAATCTTATTAAGATGTAATTGGTTGCTTAATTCCAAAACAGAATTATGTAATCAAAAGTAAAAAGAAAGTGGGTACGTGTTATAGAGGTTCGACTGTAGTTATGCTTTGTTTTGTTATTGATCGCACAGGTGGTTGCTCCATTGGCCATGACTCACAATAGCCCTTTGTCCACTTAGGCACTTGGCCCTTTGTGGAATGCAAATTGGTAGATTTCCGCTTATCATCCACGTGCTAATTTCCACTGGGAGGCTGCCTTGGGGTCATCGGTTCAGTGACGTCAATAGTGTTTTTGTTTACTCTAGCACAAACACTTTCTCCCCCACTCCCACCCACCGAAACATCCCCTTCTCCCGTCCATCGAGTACTCTTCTCGCAAGGCGCAATTTCTGATGGTGCACTCGCACAGATAACAACTGTATCCCCCACCCACATTTCGCCCGCAAATCATTCTTGGCAACAATTATCGGAACGATTGTCGCTGTTAAATTTGCACCTAATTATCTGATTAAGATTTCACAACGGCTATTTCCGTAATCTAGCTGGATTTCGACCAGCTTGTGGGCCACAAAGAAAGCCTGGTCCTCATCTCGTATCGGTCGGCAATAAAAGTACGTGCACTCAGAAAAAAAATCGCCCTGAATTTTAGAAAATCGCCATACTTTTTAAGCCAAAGGCAGCTCGCCTTGCCTTTTAGAAAAAATATTTCTAAAAATTAGAAAAAAAATTTCTTAAATTTAGGGTTGGTTTTTGCAAAATTGAATAAGAAGAAGAAAAAAAAAATCGGGGAATCGGGAGTTATGCCGACTGGGTGGAGTCTGTCGGTGTGGGGTGTTGTTGTTGGGGTTCTCGTTTTTCAACTTATTTTTCTGTCCTCTATTTAAACACATGGATGACGTCACGATGCTTGTACACAAACACACTTTTAATCTTTAATTGTAACTGAAATAATAACTGAAATTATTATATTATTTATTAATGATAAGCATAAAAATCAAATAACTTACTATCTTGAGGAAAACATTTTGGTCGCTCGCGGGATTCGAACCCCTTACCTCACAGTTTGCAGTCAAACACTCTACTAGCTGCGCCAGGGAAGCATCACGAGAGGCGCTGTACAAAGTACATTCTCATTCTGTTCTCCTGGGTTCTAGGTTTATACTCTTATTTATCCATTATGTGTGTGTTAGCTTACCTAAATCCTTATTTGTATTAAAGTATACATTTTAATGCGCAAAAAAAAAAAAAAAAAAGACGCAAAAAATGTCCGCCTCGACGTGGGATCGAACACACGCTTCCGAATATAAGCGTAGAAAACAAATAATCCGCTCGCATTAGACCCCTAGGCTACCGATTGGGCCAATTTTCTAAAATGTAAGGCGATTTTTTCTTAGTTTGAAAGAAAAATTTCTGAATAACAGAAAATTTTTCTAAAAGTGGATAACAAGAGGAGTTGATCTAATCAGGGTAAGTTTTTCTTATTATTTAGAAAAATATTTCTGAAAAATAGAAATATTTTCTGAATTTCAAGGCGATTTTCAAAGTATGGCGATTTTCTAAAATTTAGGGCGATTTTTTTTCTGAGTGTGTGAACCCCACTTGGCCTAGACCTCTAAATAATCCGTTCGATCCCACAAGAAGACTGGCACACTTTCGAGTGCCTTAAACTGCAAAATTTTCCACAGCTCGAGATGATTGTGATGACCACTCCAAGATTAGCACAATAATAGCTTGTATTGGCTTGAAATCAAGTATTATAATCTCATCGATCTTTAGCAGGAAGTCTCTTGCTGGCAATTATTTATAGTATTATTATTTGTCTTAAATTCGGCCTTAAGTATTAAACTTTATGGTCAATATCCAAATTTTAGAGAAGAGTTTTGCGTCTAAATTTAAAATTAAATTTAGGAATGCTGATTATCAGTTTAATATACCTCTTTATGGTAATAGTTTTTGGCTTATTGTGTAATTATATTATTAACATAGCTTGCTTAAATCTGATGAAGATCAATAGAACAAAAGGACCTATTCATTAGGATAAATGAGAGCATAAGGATTTATTCCATTATAACTTAAAACGTATAGAAGTGATCCCGCAGAAGGCAGAGGAAACTTGTAGATGTGAAAGATCACCCAGTGATAATGACACTTGTTGTAATGGATTCGCAACATAGTTAAACGCTATTGTTTAATTTGCAAAGTTTGTTGCACCTCTTTATCCTCATCTGGATAAATCTAACGGTTTTTATCCTTTGCGGTCTGGCCACTCTGTTGGTTAAAAATTTAATTACAGTGAACACTCATGACTGTAAAAATGTAATTTTGTTGAGTTTTTTACTGCACATAATGCAGTTTTTATAGAAAGTTGTATATTTTTAATTTGTCAGAAAGTAATCCAATCGAGTAACGGTTCCGCTACAAAAGAATTCAGCGTAAAGAATACAATGTGGCAGTAAAACAAATTAATGGGAGGAAAACGTGCTTTTTAACGTAATAGCAGAACGAACGCTGGTGTAATCATATTTTATTAAAGGTATATAAAGGTATTAAGGTATTCAAGTACACCTAAAGATTAGGGGAAATCCACGAGACTTTAATGAAATTATTCAAATAAGCGTTGTTCAAAAGGTATGCAAAGTTTGTTTATGTTTTTCGCACATAGTAGAAAAACAATTTTTAGCCTCTGGACATGTCAGCTGATTTTCAAGCACTGATGATGATTCCGTTATACAAAGAGCGCTCAAAGTTCAGTTGTGTGCCATATTTTATGAGCAACTAAACACTTATCAATAGCAGGCACTACTTAAAAACGTACACCATTTTCCATATAAAAATATATATATTCGATTAATGCGCTGGGCTAATGAACTCTGGCGATTTGGACTGTAGAACCGCTGAAGTGGCCGAATATTAATCGAAGAGGTGTTGTATTTTTAATTGCGTGCTCCTGATTTCAGCACCACCCACGGTGATTGTACTGCATTCTATTGATACCGATTGATTGTAACGCCTTCCCGATCTGATTCTGATTGCAGAGCCCCCGTTATCATCGCTGGCCTGTTTCCCAACCTGAATCTAACCTACCGGACGAGCTACCTCAGCAAGATCAACACCATTCGCAGCGATCTCCTGGTCACTTTGCGATCATCCAATGTAAGTTTCCCCGCCTATCAGTCACCCATCCTCCATTAACATTACCGTTAACCCCACCGCATAGTACACGCTATGACGCAATTGCAGGGAGTGACTAGTATTGCAGATAAGCAAATAATTCCACTCAATGAATTGTGAATCCGCATCGGCGATTGCAATTGAGTCAAAGTCCCCAAAGTTGTTAGCCTATATTTAAATTTATTTGTTTTTAAAAAATCGTTAAATAAAGGCACTATTTAAATTTGAATACGCGCGGCGTTGCCACCTCGTCCTGCCAATCGATAACAGTCCTGAAAGCTGAGCAGGATATCGGCCGTCGATTTCCTGCAAAAAAAGCCGGGCGCATGGAAATGCGAATAATTTAGCCGTAGAAAAGGTTGTAGAATAGTTGAATCTCGTAGCTATAATGACCCTGGAGGAGTTCCACGCTCGCGGCTGGTTCGAGGTACCATTCCGCCCGTCCACACACCGTCTATATGTAGACCAAGTTGCATCACAATCACACCACCGTTGCGATCTTTTCTTTGCAGGAGCCGAAGACCCAGAACTCGGTGGCACATGGCATCGGGACGCAGAATATGCTGGAGCTGACCCCGCAGTCGGGTCAGAAGCCCTTCAAGAAGCTTCTCGACTGGGGCGTGCTGTTTCCCTACGTTGCCCAGGTGGTGCGCAGCGAGAAGTTCGAGTACCGACAGGTGGGTGACCCCTTTCAGCTCACTTTGAACCCCCACTGACCTTGATCCGCAATCACCAGGTCACCGAGATCGTGCACAACGATGCTGTGCTGAAGCACGCCGTCAAACAGGCCGCCGAGCAGACGCTGCGGGAGCAGCGGTACGCCAAAAATGGACATCGGCTGCTCACGCGCAGCGCCAGCGGAGATCAGGAGGCGCAGGAGGAGGAGGACGAGAAGAGGGGCATCTCCTATCAGGCCATTCTGCGCAAGCAGGAGCAGCGCGCCATTAGCATCCTGAAGGACATGGGCTCCACCCTGAACAACGGCCTGCTGGCCTTCACCTCCTGGATCCTGTACAAACTGCTCCCGTGCTTCCTCTCCGGCGTCGTGACCAACACCAAGCAGATTGAGATGCTGAAAACAGCCACGGAACGATCGCCGGGCACCCCGTTGATATTTGTGCCGCTGCATCGCAGCCACTTGGACTACATCATGGTCACGTGGATACTCACGAATAACGACATTCGCAGTCCGCTGGTGGCCGCCGGCAATAATCTGCAAATACCCGTTTTCGGTGGACTTCTGCGCGGTCTGGGCGCGTTCTTTATCAAGCGCAAGATCGATCCAGTGGAGGGCAAGAAGGATGTCCTGTACCGGGCCGCTCTTCACCTGTATCTCACCCACGCCCTGAAGCAGGGACACAATGTGGAGTTCTTCATCGAGGGCGGACGGACGCGCACTGGCAAGCCGTGCATGCCCAAGGGCGGCATCCTCTCGGTCATTGTGAACGCCTTCATGGATGGCAGCATACCGGATGCCCTGCTGGTGCCCGTGTCCGTCAACTACGAGCGTCTCGTCGACGGAAACTTCGTGCGCGAGCAGAAGGGCGAGAAGAAGATACCCGAGTCGTTCAGCAAGGCTATTTCGGGCATCTGGAAGGCCCTCAAATCGAACTACGGCCTCATGCGCATCGACTTCAACGAGCCCTACTCGATACGGGAGCTGGTCAACTCGTACAACAAGATAGCCCGGGAGGACGGCAACAATGCCAAGGTCTACAAACCAGCTGCCAGGTAGGCCGCTCAAAATTATTTATTATGGGTGTTAAATTGTATACCTTTTGGGATTTCTGATTGCTAGCTGTAAATCACACATAATTGTCAAAAATAGGACTTTTATTTGTTTGCTTTTCTAATTGTTTAAAATTTATTGCCCTACTTATAAGTTATCATCGAAAAATATTTATGTAATATTCCGATGAATCAGAAAGGGTATAGCAAGACCAAAAATGCAATAACTAATTGGTTTTCCTTCTCTTATCTCTCTTTATTTTAGAGTCCTGCAGCACAATCAGTCTACGTCCTCGCTGTACGGCACCGATGTTGTGTGCGAGGAGCACCGCAATCTCATCGAAAGCATCTCGCGCCAGGTGGTCTTCGACTGCGCCGCCGCCACCTCTGTGATGTCCACGAATGCGCTGGCCTTTCTACTGCTCACCCGCTTCAGGAACGGCGCAGAGGAGCAGATTCTGGCCGAGGCCCTGGATGACTTGCGAAACTCGTTATCCGGCTGCAAGGACATTGGTTTTTCCGGGGAATCCTCACAGATCCTTGCATATGCCTGCGACCTGCTTGGCTCAGGTAGCTAAAAAGGCGTCTTTTTAATCTATATGTTTGCCTAAATCAATTTTAATTGTCTAGGTCTTGTCACTCGCACTCGGGATGAGAATGGGCGTTTGGTCATTAAGCCTGTGAATTCAGTGGAAAGCTTTATTGAGCTGGCCTACTACTCAAACATGCTGACCCCTCACTTTGCCCTCAGTTCGATACTGCTGGCCACCTTCCACTCCCTGCTTCCGGAAACGGAGAACAAAAAAGACGCCGGAGTGACTCGAAAAAAGCTGATGGACACCGCCCTGGAAAACTGCCAGATATATCGCTACGAATTTATTTTGAACAAGCCGACTCAAGTGCTGGAGAATTTACTGTACAAGCAGTTGGACGACCTCTTGATTAGTGGCTGCCTTCGGTCGGAAAAGGTAGAGTATATATTAAAAACCTATTAACTTTATTTGGTTAATAAATTCTCAATGATAGCTACACGATGATGATCCGAATGCTGCTGAAAGCAGACGCCTAGCTAACAGCCTGGCTGATTGCCTGGACGAGGACGACGACTACCTGCATGTGGGCAACGGCGAGGTTGATGAGCCCAAGTTGCTGTTCGCCAGCGAAACTCTGACGCAGCAGCGCTATATTTGCGAGGTGCTGGCGCCCTTCGCCTGGACATATGTGACGGTGGCGCAGTCCCTGCAGATACTTCACCGAAACTCCATGTTGGAGTCCGAATTTATTAGCTTTGTGATTAACGATTTGAGCAGCAAAGTCAAGCGCGGCAGCTGCATCTATGGTAATTGATTCTTAAGAATTTATGATTACGTTCAATATAATTGACTGACTACTTTCAGCTGAAAGCATATCAACTGACTCCGTGCGAAACTGCCTGAAACTGTTGGAGAAATGGTCTGTGATCGAGGTGTGCAACCAGCAGGGCATGCGCCTGATCTCACTCAACACGCTCTACGAGATGTCTCGAGAGTCGCTCAACGCGATCGTCAAGAAGATTGACGCAATTGTGCCAAAATTCAATACTGGTTACTTCAATGTAACGCCCTAACCAACGGGGCTCGCTTTATTTTTGGCACTCTTTTTATATCCTTGTATAGTGCATATTCACTTAAGTTTAAAGTGCGTACTCCTAGATCTTAGACTTAGATATGTCTAGTTTTATAGTCATACGAGTTTATATATGCCAAAGTGCTAGCTTTACTGTAACTAAGCGACAAAACAGTGAAATATGAACAAATTTCTAATGTATAATTTAAAAACATTTTCTATGTGCGGCCAGAGAGCGGCAGGACAAACGAAAACAATACAATATATCATCTATACTGAACTGATTGATTAAACTTTATAATTTTATAATATAGGCAAATAGAACAGCTTACAAAAATAATCTTCTCGCTTTATTTTCACAACATCGATCTGGGGAGCATAATCTGGACCAATTGTCTACTAAACATAGCTGTAACTTTTAGGAAATAAATACATGCGGTACAGGTTAAAAAAAGAATCCAAAATGCAACAATAATGTAGTGTTAAAAATAATATTAGATTGGGCTCAAGCGACTATTGCTTTTATCTAATTGGCATTCATTGCTCTTTCTTAACTTCTACTGGCTCATCGTCGGCACTAATGTGTTTAACCTTTGGAGCCTTTTTAACCTTTTTGGCAGCCGCAACGTGGATACGAACGGTGGATCCCTTTCCGCGTCGGATCTGTTTCAACTTGGCACTGCCTTTTCCCTTGCTTGTCTGCGCATTTGATTCCTAAATATCGAACATGTTTTAGGCATTTCTTGGATAATATTTTTGTTAGCCAACTCACCTTTGGTGTGCCATCCTTGAGCTTCCCACCGATCTCGCCGGAACACCGAGTTGCTCCACAGAAACAGACCTTCTTGCTGTCGTTCATTAGATCGTCCCACAAGTAGTTAAATGTTAGTTCCGTATTCTGTTAAAATAAAAGATTGGTTAAAGACTGTAATTAGGATTAAACTTTAATGTAAATCTTACCGAAGGAATGTCCTTAATGGCAAATAAGCCCACTCTATGGACGCAGTTGACGGTCCACTTTTGGGTCTCGCAGTTGGGCTCGCACGAGTGGTTCATGAACCGAGCCAAGTTGCCTTTCGGTCCGGCATCGATTATAAAGTCCTTTTCCACGCCCAAGAAGTAGTAGTTCTCGTCGCGATCTCTCTGCTTCTGCACCATGCGCTGCTGGAACTCAGCATGGTTAATCACCTCGCCCACATACTCAATGACAAAATCGCCCTGAGCAATGGGCTCCCGATTGACGAGTCCGAATCCCCGCTCGTTCATGTAAACCACCTCCAGACGTGGCGATTTGCGCAGCTCAAACATTTGGTTTTCGCAACGATTGCCAGCCTTGCAATACTCAGGATGGCATTCGTTGAAAAGTATGCGGTTGAGGCAGTCGGAGTCCGGACCGCAGGGATGTTCGTCGGTTGGCTGGCAGTAGCAGGCACTCAAATCCTCCAGATTTTGGGTGAATCGCACCGGCGGCACCGCCTTGTTGGCCTTGATTTTCACGTATGGCTGCGGATGCAGCTTGTTACCGCTTTGCCGTCCAATCGCCTGCTCCTGACGCCGGGCTTTGATTATTTTCAGGAAGCGCGAAGCCTCCTCCACGCCGGTGGTGTAGTTCCGGAACAGCTGCGACTTGGTCTTGTGGCCATCGCCCGTATCCCCCTCGATGTAGAGGTAAACGCGACGCCTGGAAATCCAGCCGTGATCGTGGGTGCCAAAGAATCGCACAACAAAGTCATTCTCCCCGTGGGCTTTCTTCAGGATGTTGCTGGGTATCTCGGTGGGCGGCAGGATGATGGCCGGCCACCAGCGGAAGTTGTTGAACTTGGCCCACACGATCTCGCCGTACAGCGGCAGTCGTCCGCTCTCGCACTCCTCGCAGATGTAGCTCTCGTTCTTCTTGATTGGAATATTTCGGCAGTGCGCGTGCACGGCAATGGGGCAAGTTTCGCAACAGACCAGTTCGCCGCCCTTCACGCAGATGTAGCACCACAGCACATTGACGTGGGCATCCGCCTTGGCCATGTTGTGTCGCGGACAGATTATGTGGGTGGCATTTAGCATCTGAGTGCCGGCTGGAATGCAATGCGAGTCCTGGTGATAGGTGGCCGGGCAGCGAACGCACTTGGCCAGTTTGGAGCTGCCCAGCTGCTGGAACTTGCCGCTGGGATCGTCCGAGACGCATGTGTGGCACACGTGGCGTGGGCAGCGGGCCGACAGCTTGCTGCTGTTCGCCTGCGGCCAGTACTTGCAGCAGCTCGTGTGGAATCGCTTGCTGCACAGCGGTTGGCTGCAAGTCAGAAGCTTATCTTCGGTTGGGGTCATTGGTGGTTCCTCCTCCTTGGTTGGAGTGATGGGTAAAGCATTTGCCGGTGACTCAATTTGGTGGCAAATGACACAGCCCTCCGGTTCGCCTATATTGCATTCGTGGCAAACTAGTGGAGTGCCACCAGTGGCAGCCACCTTGGCATCGGCTGTCACATGCTCTTCATCGGGACTCGGCGACTTGGATGTGGGCGAGGCGGCGATGGCCCTTCGACTGCCTATCTTGGGCATAGGAGCACCTGTCTCCTTTCGCTCCAGACAGTCGGCATGCAGCCAGCTGGAGCAACTGCGCGAACAGCGCACCAGATCGGAGCCCGCCTGGTAGCAGTACTTGCACACCGGCTCGCGGCTGAGCCCGCGGAAGAGATACTTGCTGTCCAGCCGCAAGATATCTTCGACCACCTCCTCGATGGGCCGGTTGACGGTCCTCTTGGGCTTGGGAGCCTCCGACAGGCGACGTTCCGGCTCCGAAGGTGCCGGCGTTGTACTGGGCGTCACTACGGGAGTCATACTGCGACGCACCATCATGGTTTTCAGGCGATTCGACAGCCGTTTGATCGTGCCCACTCCATTGCTGCGGCTCACCACCGATGAGCCCAACGGCTGCTCCATCTCGCCGCTGGCGAAGTCACGCTCAAGCTCGCGCAATTGGATCTGCTTGAGGGACCAAATATTGCTGACCACGGCGAGCAGAACCTTCTCCACCTTCTCCTCGGACCGGTGCACCATCACGTACTCCTTGACGGCATCGAAGAGCTGGCCAAATTCGGGATTCTCGTAAATGGAGCCATCCGGGGTGAGGTTCTTCTCCGAGCTGCTTGCTGCCTGAGAAGGTGTCACTGCCATGGAGGTGGTACCCGTATCCGCTTCGGTGCCACCGCTCAGTTTGCGGCGCTTGGCCCGCTTCTCGTTTTTGCTCTTTACGGGCGAGAATGCCGGACTGAAGGGCGACTCGGAGCGCTCCCTCTTGACGGCCACCAACTGGGTGATTGGTCTGTTGTGCAGGTTGTCCGTGGAGTCGTACAGACTGCTGCCCACATCCGAGGTGTCCTGCGTCATGGATTTGGTCCGTTTGCGCTTTTGTTTGTTGAGTGTGCTGAGATCGGATGAAAGAAATGTAAGCATTACACTAAGATTTAACTATGAAACTGGATTACTTACATCACACTCTCGTAGATCTGGTAGAATTTCTCGAGACGATCGGCGTACGGAACCTGGGTCATCACCTGGGCCTCATCAATGGCCTGTTGCCAGATGACCACCTTCGTCCTCTTGGGCATCATCTGTCGGTACTTGGCGCTCTTCACGCCGCTCTTGATTCGCACTTCCTCGCGCTGCTCCTCGAAGGCCTTGAGCCCGGCGAAGGTCAGCAGATTCTCCGGCTTGATCCAGTTGCGACGCCCGTTGTCCGCAAAGAAGCGCACATGCACCTGGATGGGCACCGTGGCGTTGTCCAGGGACGAGCGCTGCGGATGACTGGGCATGTTGCCCACAATCTGGCCAAAGGGATCCGGACAGACCATGCAGGGCCAGAAGCAGTACGAGAAGACCTTGCCCCAGAACAGATCACCCACTTGGTAGGTGGGCCAACCGGGATCGGTGACTATGGACAGGCCTTTGGCGCTGTCAATGCTCACGGAGGAGGGGGATTTGATTGACGTGGCCATTGCAGTGGAGCTCAAGTCGGGCGGCGACTTCAGGTCGACTTCTGTGGTGGCGGCAAATGGCAGGGCGAATGTAAGTTCTTCGGGACTCTTGTCCGCATCCTTTGGCTCTTCACCGGGCACTTGGGAACTGACCTCTTCCTGTTTGTTGTCTACATCTAAGCTGTTACTATCCTCCTGCTTAATAGGAACCTCAGCGGGTGTTTCAGTCTCGGATTTGATGGAGATCGGTGAAGTTTCTGTGTCTGGTTGTGAGGATTCTTCTGGCAGAGGAACTTCCTCTTCGCTGGGCTCTAGCTTCACAGACTTTGCCTCTTCCAGGGCGTCTGCTTCCTGGTCCGCCGACACTCTCGACTTGGACATGCGCTTCATTTTGCGCTTCAGCTGCTTGCGAACGGCCGGGCGGATGGCCAGCTCCTCGGAGTCCGCCTCGAAGCCCGTGCTGTTGGGCGAACTAGCGCCGTTCTTGATCAGCAGCTTCTCAATGGGGCTCATGTAGGCCTTGCTGCCTCCGCTGAGCAAGGGAGCACCTCCCCCTCCTCCACCGGTGGTCTTCGGGGATGCAATGTCGCGGGACAGGGTCTCGCAGGTACTGTTACTTAGGGCCGCCGCTTGGGTCACGCGTCGCCTCGTCGTGCGTACCGTGTCATCCGAGTCGGAAAGCGGCGTGGGCGAGTTGGCATTGGCAAAGCCAATGTATTTGGGGCTCAGGGCCGATTGCAAGTTGATAAGATCGCGTTTTCCTACAGCGGCACACAGACGCGCGCACACAAAGGCAGATAAATTAGCATATGGACGGCATAGGACGGGGAATGTTGCGCCATTGTTATACTCACTGTTCGCCATGGGCAGGCGCTGCTGTTTGGGTGTTGGCGTCTGCCGCTGATTCTCCGCCTCGGACTCCTCGGTTGCCGCCAGCAGCTCCGCGTTCTGGCCGGGATTCTGCTTCAGCAAGCGGCGCACGGGCGTATTGTTGCCGGCGTCCTTCGAGATTTCACCATCGTCTCCTTCAGTGGCCATCGACTCGTCGTCGTTGGCAGCATCATTGGCCAGGGGCTCGGAAGCGGAGTTGCACAACACATGGGCGCCGTCGCCCGCGGCCTCGGAGTGCGCATCCGTGATCATCTTCATAGTGCCGTCCAGTTCAATCGCGCTATTATATTATTAACCAAACACACGCTTAATAGTTGTGTTGCGCCAAAACCATGGGCATCGCATCGCGGGTGTTATCGATGACGCTGTCGATGCATCGATATGTTCGCTTTGGATTTAGCAGGGACTCACTCCAAAATCAGTGTCACGCACAGTGGGTCGGAAAAAACCCTTTTTTTTATATTTATTTTTATTTATTTATTTAAATAAAGTTACAAAAGGACGTCATGTCTCACGTGTCCTGAAGCAGTAATGCGTTTCTTGTATTGTTGTTTCAGTTTTCTATTATAAGTTATAAGATTAGTTACTCGCCATTGTAGGATTGCTTGTCTTTTGGCTAAGATTGCTTTCGGCCCAAAAGTAGGCAACAGAGTTTGGTCTACATGGTTTAGTAGAAAATATAGTCTCTTGAGCCAGAACTCCCAAAACTTCACCAAATTGGTGAGTAGGCTTGAGCTACAGGTCGGACTCAGGGTCCCGACCCGAAGTCAATTTCGTTTGGAGTCACACCAAAATTACCAGTGGATCGAAGAAGAAGTTAGTTGCAAGTGCAAAGATCAAAGTTACACAAATTAAAGGAAATCCAAAATTTCCAAAATTCCCGGCAATCGCCGTTACAAGTGGCTTAAAAACCAAAAAAACACAAGTGCTAAAGTGCCAACCCCTAGTGGGTGGCACCTAATTACATAACCCCGGTCCGCCAAAAGCCAGGCTTGGGCGTAAGAGGCGTCTGGAGAACAAAAGGGCCAACAGGAGTGAAGTTATATACCCATCAACCGATCAATCAGCACCAGCAGCAGCAGCAGAATCCGAGATCCCTCAGCAGCAACCAAAGCGCCGAGAATTTGATTTATATATATTATCTACATATTTTTGATACTTTCTACATCTACGTTTATATGTTGTAGAATAGCCCAGTAGCCAGCGAAATTTAGGCTAGGGTCCATTTACCGGCAATACAGTCCGTAAGCCGTAGGGAAATATAGCCCAAGAAAAAAAAATGAATTAATCAACCCCTCAAATACAAAATCATTTCTAATTACATTTAAAAACTTAAAGTAACGAATTTTACGCGGCATTTTACGCCGCTAGGAGCAGATCAACAGCTGAAATTTAGTTTAAGTAGTTTTAAGAGTATAGCAATCAAGAGAGAAGGTCAATAACAGGAAAATATGCATTAGAGCTGAGCAGTCCCGTCTTTCCATGTACAATTCCCTTCCCTCTCCCATAACTTAACGGCAGAGTACCGTACCGCTGAAGATTACGAGTAAGGCGAGTGAGAGTAACTTAAGCAATCTCTTAAGTAGTTGAGGTTCTCTTTCACAGGCCCCTTCGAGAAGCGCTTCATCGTGGGAAACAAAGTGAGTCCATTGTAATGAATCTCAACTACCTTTTTTTTTTAAATAACACAAAAGTCCAAAGAGACAACAAACATTAAAATTTAACCCCCTTACTAAATGCCGTAATAAAAATAAAAAAAAATTAAAGAAAACTTCAAATTCCAAAAAATTTCCTCCCCATAAAGCCCAAACCACAACTCCCTGCTCAATAAAATAAAATTTTAAGTCACACATATAATGCCATAATTTTACATGCTTACACCCATTATACCCGCTCTCTACATTTGTATTATTTCATGTAAAAGCTAGATGTTATATACATGAGCACTGAAATATTCAGCGATCGCTAAATTTAATTTTTATTCATTAAATTCGCAATTTTAAGTTCAATCTATATGTTAATCACTTCTTAGGATCCTAATGCTCTTGTTTAGAATTAAATTTTGTCAGTTAATAGGATTATTCTATGTTTAAAAATAAAATTTATAATGTGGTCTAAAGTTGAGTAGAGTCCATAGGGAAGCCATGCGTCGTCGAATGTTATCTGTCGTGTAAAGTGTAGTCGCCTTTTAGGGATCGCCATAAATATATCTGGTCGATGGTGATCATGGTAGGGAGGGCAAGTCAGCTTGAACAACCGCTGACATAAAGGCACTACATCCTTGTTCGTCCTTATCTGTCCTTTGCTAGTCAATAGTCCGGTCCATTAGTCCTGTGGAGATCCTCGTACCCTTTAGCACGCGAAGTAATAAGATTTTGTTGTTCGTCTATAGAGCAAGTAGCAGCGTTCTTAAAACCTATCCCCGACCCCCCTCTACTGGTAACTCATGCCGGAACCAGCGCGTGCTCTACGTAGGCTACAAATTACACCAGCTCTCGAAACGTAGTTCGCTACAGTATTCTAATATATAACAATAAACTTATTTGGCGCCCAAACGTGTGTGGCCCGATTCTGTCATGGCGACAGTTCGATCCGGCAAGGCCAGATCCATTAAAAAAATATTTAAAACCGTCAGTAACATCAGACGTTAGTCAAGAGAATCTCCACAGCATTCATCCGCTAGATTAGGTGCGGCGAGGAGTGATTTACGGATCACAACTCCTTGCATACTATTAGGCCGCTGGAAAAGTTTTAGCTATTTAGCTTTAACGCCGCTACCTAATTAAACTTACGCATAGGGCGTTGTTTATTGGCTTAATAAATTTGCCATCCCGTCTTTTAGCGTGGGAAGTATTATTTTTTTTTTACTGAAGTTTAATATAGAATTGTACAGAACACTTGTTGCCGGTTGCCTGGTGTATCTGGTATAGTCTGTGTTTTATGCGAAGTTCAAGAATTTTATTAATACCAGATGTTATATGTAAGATTAAGAGTCTGTTTTCGAGAATCTGAACAATAGGAGCCGGATGTTGCCGTTTTGCCATGCGGTGAACCGATTAAGTAGGTATTTTCGTTAATAGATCGTCATCTGAAAACGATATCTTTCACCTTTCTAGTCAATTTTTTTTGTAATTTAATTTTGTTTTGCGTATTAATCTTTTTGTAGTGGAGTTTTAGGCGGAATTGTACAGAACACTTTTGGCCGTTTGCCTGGTGTGTCTGGTATAGTCTGTATATAATACAAGTTGCAAAAAGTTATTTGATACAAGATGTTAAATGTAAGATTAGTGAATCTGTTACATGGAAATCCAGATATTACAGGAGCCTCTTGTTGCCGTTTGCCTTGAGGTGAACCTTTTTATTGTTTTTGTGTAATAGTTCGTCATCTGAAAACGACATCTTCCACTTGTAATTACATTTTATTATTAAAAATTTTAGAGTCAATAGTATTACATTTCATTACCGACAGGACTTAGCAGGACAAGGAACTTTACAAAAAGATAGCAGAAAACGATTGCATGGCACCCCAAATTTTGAGAGTTTTATTTTTTGATTTTTTTCGATTATTTATTTATTTATTTATGTTTTGTTTATTTATTATTTTTTTTGCTTACTATTATTTATTTATTTTATTTATTTATTTTTATTATTAGGTAGATATTTTTTCAATTATTATTGCAAGATTCCGGAGCTGTAGGTCTTGTTGAAATGTCCCTAGCACACAGCACAGAAGATCTAAATAAAATAGTAGAGAACGTTTGTCAGATCTGCGCAAAACCTATTTCCTTTCCGATCCAATTGCTACACGCAAGGTGCGGTCACGATTTTCACCGAAATTGCTTCGCTACAAAAGCGGGGAAAACAAAAATCTGTCCTGTCTGCTCTAGCTCACTATCCTTCGCATCAGCGGAGAATTTAGCAGTTGATACTCCAACTAAACCTTCTGGCTCAAGAACCAAAACTCCAATAGTGCCACTTAACGTAGTAACTAGGTCGAAAGCTAATCAAGGCAAACCATCAAGCGACATCACAATGCCTACTGGTAACGACCAACAATCGTCTTCAGCCCCGACTGAACCTCAAACTGATTTTCAGTCGGCAATGGCCGAAACTATCAGGGTAGCCATTTCAGAAGCCTTAACGACTGCATTGGCCCAGCAAACAAAATGTTTCGCTGATGCTTTGGCCCAACAAACAAGAACCATGACCCAAGCGTTCGCAGGGAATTCGCAAGCCCAAGCGGCAAATTTTTCGCCTAACCAGATAATGTTAGACCCGATGTATAACCGAGGTAATACCGATCCTCAAGGTCCACCAAATCTAGGTCAGAATCGTAGTAGCAATTATTCGCCTGCCTCAGCAAGCAGCTCCTTAAGGCCAGATAAGATTGCTCAAATCATGGTTGGTTGGAAGCTACGCTTCTCAGGAAAAGGGCCAATGACTGTCGAAGACTTTATATACAGAGTAGAAGCTTTAGCAGGACAATCATTGGAGGGAAATCTTGAGCTAGTGGCTCAGAATGCTAATTTGCTGTTTGACGGAATCGCGAGCGATTGGTATTGGCGTTTTCATAAAAGCGTATCTGCAGTGCGTTGGTTCGAGTTAGTTGAAGGACTTAAAGGCCAATTCAAAGACGATAGAACTGACAGGAACATTCGAGCGGAAATAGACCAAAGGAAGCAACGGGGAAACGAAACTTTCGATGATTTCCATAGGATAATCGCTGCCCTTGCAGATAGACTGTCGCAACCAATGTCAGAGCAAGCAATGGTTGAAACTTTGCGGGCGAACCTCCTTCCAGAAGTCCAACATGAGATTTTGTATGAGCATACCCGAACTGTGCAAGAATTAAGACGACTAGTAAGGACCCGAGAAATTTTTATGCAAACCGTAGGAAAGCCGCAAGGATTTACACCGCGCCACGGACCACCCAGGAGGCAAGTCTGTGAGGTGCAATGTCAGGTAGAGACAGTAACAGAGAGCGAAGAGTCTGATGAAGATCAAGAGTTAGCGGCCATAAATCTGCGATGTTGGAACTGTAAAGAAAAGGGACATCCACATACCAAGTGCCCAGTACCGAAGCGGGTGTATTGTTTCGGATGCGGAGAAGACGGCCAGTACAGTCATACCTGCATCAAGTGCCACCCGTCAAAAAACTCAGCAGAGCGTGCCACAAAGGCACGCAAACAGATGGTCTCGAAGGCAACGATGACCGACCAACTAGATTCACTTCACTAACCCCAAAACCAAAATCAACTGCCCAGATTTCTTCCAAAACTGAGTTAGAGAGCAATCATACCACTCGTTCAACAAGCCGTAGGGACAATTACAAATGTTTAAAAAAGAAAGAACGCAAGCTG